GCCACAGACCGACTCTGTTAAGACAGCATCAGCCGGTTGCTGCTCAGATGCCGGCGAATGTCCCCGCGAACAATCGGACGATTTTCATTCAGACGGAAGTCACTCCAAATGCAGATGTGAGCTTTGTCTTCCTCTCTCACCGCGAGAGTTAAGATGACGGCCACGGATGAACAGATATGCTAACCCGCATTCCTCAATTAGGCTCTTAAATTCATCCCGAACTATCCCGTTCTTCCAGAAAACTTCCCGGCCCCATTCCTTGAATACCTATCTCCTCGTTCCACCCTCGCTGCGCCCCATCCATCTCCGCTCGCCGCAAAACTCCTCAACGTCGATGGCGTCTCCTCTGTTTTCTACGGTCCAGATTTCATCACGATAACTAAGGCGGGTGATGCTAACTGGGCACATATCAAACCCGAAGTATTCAGCCTCATCACGGAAGCTGTCACTTCTGGCGAGCAATTAGTAAATACTGTGGCGGTGGCGGAGGGCGCCCAGGCCGGGCAGGAAGGAAGTGGGGAAGAGGCGGTGGAGTATAATGAAGAAGATGAGGAGGTTGTTGGCATGATCAATGAATTGCTTGAGACGAGGATTCGTCCGGCGATTCAAGAGGATGGTGGAGATATTGAATTTAGAGGATTTAAGGATGGAAATGTGATGTTGAAGTTGAGAGGGGCATGCAGAACGTGCGATTCAAGTACGGTGACGTTAAAGAATGGGATTGAGTCGATGCTGATGCATTATGTGAGTTCTGGACATCTCTTTTGCTCTAATCCGGGTTGTTTTTTTTGGTTTTGGTCTCGGATGAGCTACTAACTAAAGGTTATTGTGATTTAGATCGAAGAAGTCAAAAGTGTCACTCAGGTCATCGACGAGGAGGAAGAAGTTGCTTTGAAGGAGTTTGAAAGGTTTGAAGAAAAGCTACGGCAGCAGAAGGGCCCCGGTGCTACTGCATCAACCGTTGGCAAGGGAAGCCTCGACACCGCGGATGCGTGATTTTAGCTTCCTCGTGTGTTTAGTCTCTGTGTTAACTCCCTTGCTCGCACGAGTTCAAATGCAAGTGGGGTGTGTGTATGATACCATATTTTATGCTTGTTTGGACTCTGTTCCTCGTCAAGGACGACGTTCACCCGGTATTTCCTATTCATGTCTTACTATATGATGCAAGTGCAATAGATTGTTAGAACCAAATAAGCGAAATTTACTAAAAAATTTTCTGCATTAGCGCTTCGAACGTCCTGATCTATTACATGGGAGGCGCGACTATCACACCAGCGCACAATGGCCATGACGATGGCTGAAGATGGCTATAGGTGTTGAGAGGCGGATGGCTTGATCTGCATTTTTACAAATCACCCAGAGTCAGCGACTGCATGCCACTCTAGATCCGCATCATTCGGCACTCTCCATGCTCTTGTGCATCCACGGCCGTGGAGTCGGGGCCATCCGCAACCATCATTGGGACGTTAAAGCTTCCATGTCAGGACCCCGGTTCTTTGTTTGAGTGCAAATGCAAAACATCTCGGCTCAACCTTGTTAGCTCGTATTGGTGTCGCTTGAGTCCTGTACTCTAACAGTGCTTCGACCCCGTAACCCGTCCTTGACGAGCAATCGATGGAAGATCGGCTGTGGTCTAGATCATCGAATGCGTTACGTTCCCTATTTACAATGGATATTCTCCTCTTCAACTACTCCGTATATGCACACACATATACTTAACCCCTCGTCGCCGTGACTACTCCGCAACATGTGAGGAGTTAAAGGAAAATGTGAGATCATGTCTGGTGTACATGTAAGTCTGCGCGGCCCAGTACCTCATGTGATTGATACAACACGGGAAACTTCTCCACACATTCCAGCCCGGAACTGTTTCGGAATCTAGTGTGTGCATGGGTTGAGGTGAGGAGGGCCTTCTTTTTGGCAGAGACGCCGGATTACCTGCGGCTGATTCCCTAAGGAAACACCCCTCCATTTCCTGTGCTCCCAGAGCTGGAGAAGATGGGAGCACATCATGCTATCGGCTAGTAATGAAAAGCTCACGCCGATAGAGTTTTGATTCCCTGGTACTTGAGGTGGCTCGCATTGAGAGTACGGTGATGTATGTGTATATGATCAGATGATTCGTACCTGTCATAGGGCTTGGTAGTCAATACTGGAAATCGAGTAACAAATTCTCCGCGGATACTCTCAGGTGAAGATTGGTATTCCGGGCTTTTTGCGTGGACCCCTGAAAGAAGGTAGCGCACAGAAGCAAGTGAAGATGACACTCTCAAATGCAGTGTAAGCGTCCGAGCGTTTGATCTTTTGGCGCAAGGCCTCTTGGAGGAACTGGAGGATGCATGCATGAATTACCTCGCGTCAATAGTTAGCTAGCCGGCTGTCGAGTGGCTTGCTTCTTGCGCACATGACTTTCTTTCAAAATCAATTCATCATTTCATGCCGGGCTGGTTTATGTTTAACCATCTGTCGAGATATCTTTGCCCCGTGGCATGGAGAAGGTTGCCGAGTTTGATCCTCCGTTTCGCCGGCAATTTTATGCCGTCTCAGTGGCACATAGGAGCGGTAACATCAAGTTTGAGCGTCTTTGATCCTTGTCTTAATCGATGAACTAAATAAAATCGCTCACAACTTAATTACTGTCCCTGGGCCCCTGCCAGCATTTCTGTTCAAGGGGCGGGATTGTTAGGCCTAGGAGTTTTGCTCAAAAAGCCTCCGTCTAGCAGAGATGTTTTTGCACGGGTCGCTCGCCCCTTCACGCGGTCGTCAAATTTGTGGGCGGGAATTGGGCGCGAGGTCGGAAAAGAAAAAAAAGCCATGAGTGACGGTGAATGGAACATAGGGATCTGCATGCTGTGAAAGATCCGCATCATCAACTTAGTTGCGGAGTTTTAGAGGTAATACTGCATCGAGTCCGTTTCTCAGTGTGGAAATCAACAATATACTACATACGTAAGTCTGGAGCGTTTGAAGGCCGGCTTGGTATGAGAATAAGCTCCGTCGGTGGCAAGGGATTTGTTGTTTCTTCCTCTTCGCCGTGCACTTTGTTGCAAAAGCTTGGATTTGAGCTTCCGATGAAACTTCGGCCAGGCTCAAGGCCATCCATGGCTCCAGTGTTGATGATTTATGACCTGAGCTTTTTTGATAAATAAAAAACAAAGTGGGCTTTGTTTGAAAAGAGTTCATTGGCAAAGATGGATTGACGATGATCCGCCCAACCACGACACAGCGCCCTACACCCGACGCGTCGAAGCACCCGGGATGTGGCTGAGAAAAAAGATACACCAAGGAAAATTCTGGGTTTTCGGACTCGGCTCACAGACGGATAATCTGTGTGGGGTGAAAGTGGGTTTCCGCGAATGCAAAGAGGGGCTCTCGTCCTGGCGTGGAATCCACGGAATCTCTCGTGTAATTTACTATGTCGGTAGTGTGATTGGAAGGCCTGGTGGGTAGGCTTCTCCACAACAGCTTACTTAGTTACGATGTTTCCACGCAGGGCCCTTCTTGAGGCTTTTCTGGATCAAGGATTGATAGACACAACAGGCGCCTGGAGAAGCAGGATCTGGAGGAGATCGCAAGGGAAAGTATTAGCTGGGATTGGAACAGTTCGATGACAAGGGCAATCGAAGCTCGATAACTGAGCCCTGGTGTCGTCAAGTGAATGCACAAGGGCTCGGCAGTGGCATTCTCCTCACATGTGGGCATCGTATGTATGCCTGCTGACCCAACTACCCGACACTCTCACGGCTGGACTGAGATGGGGGAGAGGGAGGGGCCTTTTTCTTGTCCCAAATTCAATTGACTCGCTAACTGGTTAATGAACCGGGGTGTGGAGGGTCAAAAGATCACTCCACCATCTCTAGAACCTCACACAAGCCCTTTTAATTTGGTTAGCTGCCACCCAACGGTCGTGGGACAGACCTGTTTCGCTGCAAGGGCCATGGGCGGGCTTGACATGGCCCTACTCTTGAAAGAGCAATCGACCTTCATTTGGACAACAAGCTATGGTCCTGTGTATGTATACAGATGTATGGGAGTATGTGTGTTGCCCTTAATATGCAGGTAGCTGAGGTAGGGAGTGACTGATGAATTTGTCTGGTTCGGTGAAGAGTAGAGTCAAGCTGTCAACCGGCGGTGATTTATATTCCCCAGCCCAGTTACAGCATGGGACAACACGTTCATGCAATGCTCCTGGGGGTGAAGCGAAGCGTCTTTGGCCTTCTGTCACTTTCTGTTTCATTCCAACCCACACCATTATCTTCAGGCCATATTATACTGATAGAGCTGTGACTTTCTCAAGCACGGCGGAATGCGTAGTTAGCCAGTTATGTACTCTATATGGAGTGATTAGTTAACTCGTTATCCGGTGAGGGCACGCCCGCAAGGCCTGGCTGGAACCCGCCTGAAGACTGGCAGGGAATTTGTTCGAGACCCACGAAAAAAGAGTCCTTTTTTGCCGTTGCACGTCCTTTGCTGCAGGTGTCGGAATCCACTTCTCAGGCAGCTCAGCAGATGGAAAAGGGGGCTTCGTCTGAATAAGTAGTCAAACGCCAGCCGGTCTCGTCAAGCACCACCACGGGTCAAGTTATTCCTGATCTCGCACTCCCCTTTCCCTGGAGTTGCACAAACCTTGGCTGCAAATCGTGCACGAAATCCCAGCCATTTAGGCTCAAAACGGTCCCAAGAAGCCTAAGAAAGTTCTTTAGTGCCACCAACTTCTCCTTCCCATACGTCGTAGACTTCTGGGGGGACTGTGAGCACTGTTTGGATCGGTCCCCAAGTCGGCTCTCCAAAATCCCAACCCTACCCTGACGCCACCCACCAGTTCGCAGCGTAAATTGCCCCATCCCATGATGCCGATTGATCTGGATCTTGGTTCCTTTGACATGCGCTAATGGTTGGAAACGGCGCCTCGCCCTTTCATGCTCCTAGAGTTCGTCGTCTGAAGTCATTCTATCTTCGCCATCGCATCTTATCTTCATCTGCTATTCGCCTCAATACATCTACCGCGCCGAACGCGCTCCTCCTCCTCCATCCTCTGGTGATCCCGTACGTTCCCTGAGCTCAAGTCCATCCATCTGCATCCGGTTTCCGTCCATAGAGCTTCTGTACCGATAATCGCTATCGTCCTGTCCAAGCGGTAGAGAACCGAGTTCCCACCTTCGAGACTCTCTATCCATTGATCCTTCAATGACGTGCGAGCGCTGTGGACGCGCTGCTTCCTGCACCGGGCCTTTTGCTTTCTGATTCTCTTCGAACGCGAGCCACTCCTCCTATTTATCACCTTTGAGCGCTTGGTGGCGTTGGGAAAAGGGAAAGACTGCTCAGATCATAATTGCTAGCTAGGTCATTTATTCCGCTGTTAACAGGTTCTTATTTACTTGATCTGCGTTGGCCACTGACATTTCTTATCCATCTTAGACTCCTCAGTTTGCTATCGGAGACGGTATTTCTTTTTTTATCAATACCCGCCAGATTCTTGCATCTTGTTTAGATTCGCCTAAGGTAAGGTTGCTATCTCATTAAGCAGTCGACGGTTTGCCGCTTCTTCGCATTGCCTTCCCCCCTCCCATTTGGCTAAGCAGCACCCCACGGCCCTCTCACATCATTCCGACCTCAGTTGCGCATGCGGCCGGCGCCTTTTCTGCCATGAGACTACCGGTTTATCTCAAGATTGCCGATTAGATCTTGGGTTCTTTCAACCGGGAGGGCAGATGTTTGCGCAATTATATCCTTGATACCCAGGTTTACTTTTGACAAACTGAAAAGTAAATAGCCACCCTGGCAGCCTGGCCTCTTTTTTATCGGGACTGTTTTATTGAGTCTCCCAGACTCTGTTCTGGGCAGCTTCTTGTCCACCAGGCCCAGCTCTACGTATCCAGCCTGCCTATAGTGGCCCATTATGCTGTGGCTTTCGATTTGGGAGAGGATAAGAGCTTTTGTGTGTTTGACACTGCCTTTCTCATTTTGCCACGCAATACAGTTGCTATAGTGCAATATCTTGTTGCACGGGAATGCTGACTGTCTTGCGTTGCGCAATAAAAGCGGCTCCTATTGTTTTTCCTTCCTCATTTTCCATTCGCCTCTCTCCCTGTTTCTGGGACATTTTTGAAGGGAAAAAAAAGGAAAAGTTAACTGACAGCATATGAACTAACATTGTTCTCATCATCATCAGATTCTCAGTTTACTGCCTATTTGTCTCCTGGCAGCTTCACCCCATCAACCTTTCGTCGCATCTTATTCGTCACATTTTTTTGTCGCATCTGTCATCTTACCTTTGGGCTCAGTTATTCTGGTTGCACAGATCCCTTCAGCGGAAGCTGGTGGGAATTTTTTCCTTCTCCCCTTTTCGCCGGTCTCCTCGCGCAGACCTTGTCAAATTTACGGCTACGCACGTCTAAATCGGCCGCCGACATTGGGTATGTACCATATATCTCCACCACTGCCGCGTCGCGTCACCCTAACTCTTATTAGTTGATTGTCATCACTTGTGTTGGTTTGGTTTTTGGCTATTTTTCTAACCATATAATACCTGACAGGAGCTGTGTCCACCGCCATCATCATCACCAACACATGACATCGTATCACAACACTTGGGCAGCCGTTATACGCCTTCCTAATTTGACGCTGTCCTGTCTCGACTTTGGGTGAGCGGAGCGGTAGTCACTCTGATTCACTGCTGAGTTGCAGATAGCATCCGGTTTACCACTTTCGAGCATTTCACTTTTCTCTTTGAAAAGTCTCTCCAAAGCCCATTAGTTTCTCTCTTTCTTTTTTTCTTTGTACCTTTTCATTATCAGTGGATGGGGTTCTTATTCCTTTGGACATCGACAACCCTTCATCTCATCCCCATTTAGCCACTTTTCATCATGGCGGCGTCCAGCAAGACAAGTCAGTCATCCAAATCTTCGCATACTACATATGCACCTACTCCGAACAACAATGCGTCAATGTTGTTAGAGAAAGGCCGGCAAGGTGGTCGGCGATCCACTCCAGACTCTGAAGCACTTGCCTCCTCCGAGGATGAAAACGATCACCACGGGCATACTCAAGCACAACCGACTCCCGTTTCGAAGACGACGCGACGTACCTCATGGCTGAACGAAATACCCAGCTCATTGCCCCGGAAAGCATCTTTAACCGCTACCAGCTCATTTTCTCCCGTGAACTCAAACCCCACCACACCAGCAACGGATCAAGGTGCCTGGGGTTCAGCAACAAGCCCAGGTCTCGCAAGCTCGGTTAACTGGGGTTCGACAGGAAATGGGTCCTTCCCATGGGGTACTGGGATATGGAATGCCGAGAACCGCAAAGAACCACCTTCAAGGTTGTCAGAAGTCCTCCAATCTCCCACCTCCATACACCCACCTAATTCGAGCTTCGGGTCTGCCGACGAGGTGATCAGCCCTACATCGCGATCCGTCACGGAAGCATCTATACCTTTTGCTATACCTATCCATCCCACCCCCAAAACCTATCGTTCTCAGTCGTATTCTGTTGGACAGCTAGACCCAGAAACCACTCATATGATGCCGACCAAAACTACTGCGCCAGTGTCTGGAGCTCGCACCAGGAACAGTGCGCAATATTCCGTCCAGCGCCGCTCCTCACGGCCTAGCATACTCGGTGAGCTAGGACGTGACTCCGCCGTTCTGGGGCGTGTTCGGGAAGACGATGATGATATTAGCCCCAATGATTCTGAAGGCAATAATAATAATTGGTCTTCTAATCAGGCACGTACTATCGAGCAACTGACTTTAGAAAATGCACTTTTGCGCCAAGCTGCTTCAAGCCAGCTTGAAGGCGTGCGATTTCGGGATCGAACCCTTTCTTCTACTTCGGCTAACAGTGGATATTCTCTTGCTCAGGGCCATAAACTACACCCTATCCATGGAAGCGTCCCCGAGGAAAGCGATCTAGCGGTCGAAGACATGGATGAACTCGGCGAATTTCCCGGATATAATGCCTCGCGCAGTAACGCCAGGAGACGATTCAGCCTACACTCTGCTAATCTGGAAAAACAGTTTCCTACTTTTACTTCTTTGGAGAATCGTACTTTGGAAAATATCAAGCGGGCTCAGTGGCAAAGTTCACTTGGTTTCGGCAGTATTAACGACGTTCCCCAGAGCCGTCGTCACTCTTTCGCGGATGTTCCCACGAGACACGTCTCATCACTCTCCGGCTCGGCAGATTCCCAGCCTCCTGTCGGCACAGCTGTTAAGAAGCAGGACGAGGACGTTGGGAGCTATCCGGAAACTGGCTTAAGCGCTTCATCCACAGATAATCGTGAGTATCTCGCATCTCGTAACACTCAGTCCCTTGCCGAACGTGCAAAGGAACTGGAAGGTTTACGTGCTCGTCAATTTGCAGTTGCCTACTTTTCAGGTCATGATCTTTCAAACCGTGCAAATGAGCCTCCACCATCGTCTGGAATATCGACAGCTTTGCATCAAGCATATGTTATGCCAAACGCTTTTGGCCGACAGCATGCAGCGTTAGCTCAGCCACATCAGAATCAGCAGCTCTTCGTCGTCACATTCAAATGTTATCGGGCAGATATTTTCTATATTCAGGAAGATACTGGACTGCAGGTTAAACCCGGGGATCTTGTCATTGTCGAAGCGGATCGTGGAACCGATCTTGGCACTGTTGCACATGCAAATGTGAGCTGGCAAAAGGCACGAGAGTTAAAGGAACATTATGCGGAGGAGCACTATAAATGGTTGATGATGTTTTCTCGCCAGAACCAGTCTGGGGCGCCTCATGCGGTGAATCCAAACGGTCATTCAGGCTTAAGTGGAAGTACAGTCGGCGGCATGGGCCCTCACAGTCAACATGCTGGACAGGAAAACCAGGGTGGTGATATTAAACCAAAATTGATTAAACGACTTGCACAGAACCACGAAATTCAGACTTTACGCGATAAAGAAGGAAATGAGGCCAAGGCAAAGCGTGTTTGCCAGCAAAAAGTTCTCGAGCACAGATTGAACATGGAGATCCTCGATGCCGAATTTCAAATGTATGCCCCGCCCACGCTTTCCTCATTGTTATGATCCTGCTGATATATTGCCAATAGGGACTGGAAGAAGCTTACTTTCTATTACTTTGCCGATACATATATCAACTTTAATTCGCTGGTTACGGATTTATTCAAGATTTACAAGACTAGGATTTGGATGTCTGCGATTAACCCTGCTTCTTTTGTCACGCCCACAACCGGTTTACAGGCTCTAGGAGGCCTTGGACCCCCATCCTCTCTGGGTTACGGTCAAGATCCACATGGAGATCGCCGTCGACCGCATGATTATAAGCAATATGGCGCAGGGATCAGCCAAGGATTGACTCCCGGAATTTTCACTGAGCCATTGAACAGAGAGACAGCTGGTCAAGGTGGGCCGATGCGCTCGCCTTATTTGGATTCTTATCAGTCGCTTGGAAGCGCTCGGCAACCGGAAGCTGGCTACAACGGTTATACGCATGGTTTGCAACCTCAGACCGATCCGTTTAGCTCCTACGCCTCCAACTATGGGATATCCGATCCGGGTACAGCTGGGTTTGGAGCAGCAGGCATGCGCAGCGGTTATCCTGCACAAGAAGAATGGATGAACCGCTTCCAGGGCCTTTCGCTTGGCTCTTAATTAAAAAGAGCAGTTGGATCTCCGCTATTGGAACAGTCCGTGCTTCGAATGCTGTCCGCTTTGGCAATCCGTTGTTTCCGCTTCTTTTTATTCGCACCACTGCATCCGCATCCGCTATTAATGATATCTCGCGCCACATTCTATTCTCCTTCAGATTTACGGGTTTTAGTACCTAATATTTTTCCCTTCGGTTTTGCAGGTCATTTTCTTGCGCGTTTGTACCATCCTATCGTGCTTACATCGATTCTGGACATACAGGTGAACTAGATATACACTTGGCAACAGGCTGGCGCGAAAGGTGCTTATGATACGGACATTTAAACGGCTTTTTTGACTTCTCAGTCCTTTCGGAAACCACCGATAGATTATCTCGACCCATGATTAACGGATTGACATTTGCCTTAAAAACCACATTGGCACCACAGGCTCTTTTTTCTACTACAAATCACCTGCTCGATGCAAACTCTCGTTTTAGGGCGATTTTGCTCCTTGCATGTTCTAGTTCACCTTTCCACGACCTTCGCTTTACGGGATCGGTAAAGGGAATCGCAACATCATTTCCAGTACATTGGTTGCAGAGATTTTACAATGCTCTTATCTCCTGTTATCTAAGACTGGCCATTCCTTTATCATCGTTTCGTGTTTTCATATGGGGACATTATCAATCTGCCTGTGCAATATCTTGAATTTGGAACAAAATTGAGGATGAAAGGCTGTTTGAAAAATTGATAATGGACAGATTGACTCTCAAGACGGCAATGGAACTAAACCATCTGTTTTTCGATATGGCCAGGGAATTTCTTTTGGGATATCAAAGTCCTTAAGCTATGGACTCCCCGATTCTGCGGGACTCGCTTTGACTTCCAGACAGAACGGGAGGATACTCGAAGGATCTTTGGCACATCATACTCTCTTTATGCTACTCTTTCTTAATTTCCTTTTGCGTGTACCTATATTTATTACTCCATGTATACTTATTGTCCTTCATTTCCCCAGGCGCCGATGACGATTGCTTCGCCGGATCCAATTCTCAGATTTCTCTCTCCTTTTCTTATTATACCCCGTTCTTTTCTTTTCTTTTCAACATATTTCTCATCGGCACTAGAATGCTGACCAACATCAGAGAGATGGATTGGTCTATTGAAGCCACGATTGTCTCTCCAGTCCTTTCCGAATATTTGGTTTGTTATCAAAAGACGTGAATTTCTTATGTATCATGCCTTTGACTGCAAATTGGCTTCTTTATTCTGCTCGTTCCCTCCTCAGTTTGATATGCCCATTTTCCTTTTTCTCTAGTTCCCAAGAGTGTTTATCCAGATAGGAGCCGTATGCATACAATACATTTCTTATTGATTTCGATCCTGTGTACCTAATTGCTGATTAAATCACATGACCCTTATGGATTTCTTGATTCGGATATAGAGACGTCGATAAACGTCCGACCCTCTCTTTGAGGGCTTACCTACATTCAACTGATGTAAAGGTACCAAAGAGGATTAGCGTGGAGCCTCGCGTTACTGAAGCGATGACCCGTACTAAGCAGGCTGGTGAGCAATCAATCTAGAGATCTCGCTGGCGATGGGTTTATCAAGGCTAATCATACCTGAGTGGTAGCGGTGCGACCCCGTTGGGGAGGAGGTAAGGCTACCTCGGCGACGGAAACGAGACCTACCGGGGGAATGTCACGTCGAGCTACGGGCTATGCCGCTACTGATGATGATTACAATGACGATGATCTTCCGGAAAGTTACGACAACTCCCAGGATAGCGTAGACGAGGTGGAAGGCGCAAGGTAGAAAACCACTAGCAGTGGATATGCTCTATGTTTCTATGACTGAGAACCTTATTGCAACATCCAAGCTAACTGGAGGATGTAGGATCGCGGCACTTAATGCACTGCAAGCTGCAATGTCACGTGTAGAAAAGAATGACAACTTCGCGAAAACGTTTGAACTGAAAGTTCGCACAGAAGAAAAGAGGCTACTGGATATGTTGGATGAGGAACAAGCCAAAATGTAGGCTGATGGTGTTCTCTCTGAGAGGACTGTTCTGATTGCGTTAGATAGGCAATCGGAAGAGGAGCAGTTCCAGGCCCAATTTGAAACCCTTCTGAAGTCTGCTCTGGCACCGCTTTCCGGTCCAGCCAAGGATGTTGCGCATATTGACGAGGGCGAAGAGGACCCTGAGGCGCAGGGAGCAACCTCTTTTGCGAGCCACCCCCTCTATGTCGCGTCTAAAACCCTGCTTGAACGTTCGCACGCCGTCCTTGACTCGTACGAGAGGGTCAATGACTATATCAGAGATATTGACCAGCTTCCAAATTTGGCAGAAGAATGGGAGAAGGACTACGTGGAAGCGCGACGACTTATTATAGCCGGCCGTGAAGCCTCCGCGTTAGAGATTGAAAAAATGATCACGTATGACAAGGCTCGGGTAAACGGTGTCAATAGACTAGGAGGCAAAGCTTTGAAGAGAAAGAGGGATTCTGAGATGGATGAGAATCTGAAAGCCATGTTTGAAATAGGTAAGGCGGACGATGAGGAAGAGGAGGAGGAGGATGGAAGTGAAATGGGGAAAGGACGAGAGGAGATACATGGATGGGGAATTACGGCGCATAGGCTTCGGAAAGGGCTGAGAGCGCTAATCAGCGCGTTCCCAGAGAGTGGTAAAAAAAGCTAAGGAAAGGAGGATATGAGACGTTAACTCAGCGGTAGGTTGTACCTGGCCGGACCAAGCACATGAAAACCACATAAGGAGATAAAAGGACTTAATCACTTAACTACCAACCTTTAGAAACTCTCTGAGAGTATTGCTAAAAGAAGATAGCTATTAGAAGTATCCTACCAATATTCAATATTCTTTCACCAAGTTCTGTGCCCCATGAGAATGTAACTGGTAGTTGTGCAGCCAAGATCAAGCTTATAGGGAGGCTTTTCACCTCGGGTTTCTATAATACTCTTCTTGCTTCTTGCGGACAGTAATGGATGTTATGAAAGTAGTGACTCCGGAAGTTCAGGTGCGGTCGTCGTTTGGAATGCAAACGATTGCAAGTGCCGGTGTCATAATCCTCCAGCTTCCAGTTTATTGTTGGCTAAAGAGGGGAGGGTTGCGTACGCGAATTGTCCATGGATTCCTAGGTACCACAGAGAAGTTTGAATTGAAGCAGTGTTTGGCCTTTGCTGGGCATGGTCGCTGATGATTCATAGAATATGTTCTGAAACCTCTCAGGATTTTATATCCCAGAGTTTTTGGGCTCATTGGAGCGCTATAGCATCGAAGCGCCGTTCGTGAGACGGTCATTCCACTGTCTCGAACCAGAACAATTCAGCCCACGATAGAGAGTTTTAACCCAGCGGTCAAACATTCTCCCAGCAATTAATCCTGCGTGGATGTGTAGAATTTAAAAATCTCACAGGGTCTGGGATAGGCTTGGCAAGGCTCGCGCTAGTCACATCACGTGATTAGATGCCAAGCCACACACTGCGCTCGCTTAAGCCGGATTAAGCGTTCCCACAGAAAGACTCGTTCGAGCGCGAGACGCATTGCACTAACAACGACAACCAGGGACGACCAACCCACGACGACAAGGTGAGATCTCCTGAAAGCTAGTTGTGGCTGCTGTGCTTCCATGCTTTTATCCTTGTGCAAAATTGGAGCGTCAATTCCGTTTGCTGATCGCTTGATTTCACCTTGTCCAGATGGGTGCTCTTAAATATGTTGAAGAGCTTCAGCGCAAGAAGCAATCCGATGTGATGCGCTTCTTGCTGCGCGTACGATGCTGGGAGGTGAGATAATTCCCAACCGCGAGACCGAGAGCGAGCAAAAAAAAAATCAAAAGAGAGAGACCTGCTTTTCGGAGCCGGACCACTTTTCCTTCGAAATCCAAATACAATTTCTTCTGTGGCACACACGAAGAGAAGGAAAAGAGAGAATCTCGATTTTCTCGCTCTCTCTCTCTGTGTGTCTTGCTATACACTCGTTGAACATTGCTGAGAGTGCATCAATATAGCTTCGTCAACTCAATGTGATCCATCGTGCTTCTCGCCCCTCTCGTCCCGATAAGGCTCGCCGTCTCGGATACAAGGCCAAGCAGGGTTATGTTATCTACCGTGTCCGTGTGCGCCGTGGTGGACGCAAGCGACCTGCCCCCAAGGGTGCTACTTATGGTATGTACTTGACTCACACGTCTGGCAGCAATATCGACTCTAATACCGTTATCTTTTTTTCCCTCAAGGCAAACCCACCAACCACGGTGTCAACCAGCTCAAATACCAGCGTTCCCTCAAGGCTACCGCCGAGGAGCGCGTTGGCAAGCGCTGCGCTAACCTCCGTGTCCTCAACTCCTACTGGATCAACGAGGACTCTACCTACAAGTACTTTGAGGTCATTCTCGTCGATCCTCAGCACAAGGCTATCCGTCGTGATCCTCGCATCAACTGGATCGTGAAGCCAGTTCACAAGGTACGCTTCGAATTGATGATTGTTGCCAAAGAGGGCAAATAGAACACCTTACTAACACACTAATTTAGCACCGCGAATGCCGTGGTCTCACTGCAACTGGCAAGAAATCCCGCGGTCTCAACAAGGGACACCGCTACAACAAGACCACCGCCGGCAGACGGAAGACCTGGAAGCGACACAATACCCTCAGCCTCTGGAGATACCGATAAACGTAACGCCTTTCGATTGTGTTTCGTTACGTTGGTGGAGTCGGTTTTTATGGGCGTGCATGCAACTTTTTTTCAAATACTTTGTTTGCTGGGAAAAAGTCGTCAGCTACCTCGTCACCCCATTACATGTGCATGGGCCTGATATGGATATTAAATGAGATAGCAAGGAATGACAAAGATGATCATCTTCTTTGCTGATACGATAATTGTAATGTCAACAAAATTTTTAAAGTAAATTTCCTTATCCCTTTAGAAGTTGGGCTGCAAGGAAAATGAGACGCTTATCATAAAAATACAATCCTTTTATTCCCAAGAAAAAAAAAAAAAAAAAACCTAAATTTGACACTATTGTCGGAGTAAAAGTAGATGAAGAAATGTGTCCAGCACGTGGCAACTCCTCAAGAGTGCTCCGAACTCTACCCGGGAGCATGTTCTTTGGGAAACGGACTTGTACATCAAGAAGAAGAAAGTTCTGATCTTCGTGAAAATATAACTCTGCCGCTGTAAGGAGCGAGCGCGAGGAATTATCTATCGTTAGACTAGGTAGTAACAGTTTGTTCGAACAGAGACTGGAAACGCTACCGAATTTAGGTACCTCATACGAAAAAAGAGTCTATTATTCGATGCTTTCTCTGAACAGCATCGAATGAAATTTCGGAGCGTCGGTCTACTGAGTGGTATAAACGCATCATATCACGGGTGCTTCCCAATTATCTCGTTTCATCCTCATCACAGCAGCTTGCTTGTGGGGAAAGGCCACTTCTCCATCTTTATAGAAGCCTGCTGTATGAAGGCTAGAAATTAACCTATGCACACGATGTAAGTTAGCAAAGATGGTTACTCTAGGGATAGAATAATATCCAAATTCGGAGAGCGGAATAGTATGGATTTGGTGGAGCCGCTCACCTTTCATTGTCAACTCTAGGCTCCAGGATGACATTCTCCGTCCGATTATCCGCCAGCCAGCAGTAGTGTACCAGTGCACTCAACCATATCTGTACTCGATGTGAACTCCGGTACTCCTCTTCGCCAATTAAGCAGTGGAACCCACGATCCCAATTGCCCACTGGAGACAGGAGCAGCTTTGCTATATTTGCCTCCTTTATCCAATAAATCTCAAAATACCCAAACGGCTTGCCATCCCAACAACCCAAGGCGGGAAATGAGAAGGTGGACGTGAGTTGCTTCCGCAGGAAAGCATCTTGAATCGAGCGCGGGCCAGCTGCGCCCCAAGCAGCATTAATGCGTGGATTGTTCATCCACCTGTGTAAGACGTCAAGATCTGATTCATTTTCTGATCTGGGCAAGACAGAACCCGCTGTCATCATGTCAGCGATGGATGTTGCGCTTGCGGACTTGCGATGGCGTATGTTCAAGTCACTTAACATGACCGACTCTCTCGCCTTGAGAACTGGGACACGGAAGGACAGCGTCTGCGCTACACTGCGAATATAGCGGACATAGAACGTTTCTCCTTGCCTGGGTGGTTTAGGACGGATGGGATGGCGTGTTCCGTTTGTGAAAGTATAGAGTGGAGGAGCGGGAGGGAAAAAGGTTGGCAAGTGACTTCCAGAGTAAAATGGGCCACCAGGCATAGATGGGTTGAAAGGAGCATTTTCCGGGCCTAGAAGAGCAGCTGCAGACGTAGGGGATGTCGTTGATATACTACCACTGGGAGGAGAGTCCGGGCGAGAAAAGTGTGGTATATCGATAACCGGTGGCACTGACACGGGCTGCAACGTGAAAAGGAAGATTCTAGGATCCAATTGCCAGAACCTACGACGACTGACGTACATTTCTCTCCAGCCATCCTGATAGTCAGGATCGGCGGGATCGAGGCCCACGGACGAATCCTCACATGTCACTAAGCCCATTCGCTCCAGTTTTTGCATCAGATTGCGACCTTTAAGGACACCTTCCCGTTTGATATACACACGCCACTCTCCCTTTGGGCGGCCAGGCTCGGGCGTCAACGCGGATTCAGGGGTGGAGACATGTCGATTTGGCTCTGGTAAATGAAAATACCACCAAAGAGTTGCCCAGAGCATCATCGCAATTTGCCGTGTGGGCGACGAGGGCGATTTGAAGTCCCGACTTGAAGGAAAGAATAGGGAAGAGATGAAAAGGCAATCACGGTCAAGGGTCGGTTTTGTAAAGCGAAATGAACGGCTTCGGGGGGTGCGTCTATTCTCCCTGGACGGGCTTTGAGGCCTTGAGCCAGAGCCTGGGCGGGAGAGGCCCGACGAGGAATTGCCAGAATTGGAGGGAGATTCGGGTCGGCATTTCTCACTTGTCGGAGAAAACCTTTCGGTATGTACGACTATATTCCATCCCGGTGGTAGGGTTGAATGGCTGATGTTGATTTCGTTGTGCTTGAATGTCATTCCCCCGAAGACGGGGGTGACGGTGTACACATAACCGTTGGGAAGGAAAATTGGCTCAGTTGGCATTGACTCCGTAGTTGAAGGTTTCACAATGCCTCGTCGATCCTCGAGTTGTGCACTGAGGCAAAGGGTAGGTCTTCAAGGGACGTTTATATCCCTTTTGTATGAAACAATAGTGACTTAATCATGAAGCAAACAACGATCATGTTGCGACTGGGGCAAATTGGAAGGATCTCTCTGCATTTCCCGTCATCTTTCATTTCTGCTCATCCATGGCATATTTCAGCGGGTAGGAAAAATCTGCTTGATCGGACGATATCAGCCGGGAGGAATGACATCATTGCACGAGACGGCAGCCACATCCGGTCTTTGTGGCGCCCATGCCTCTCATTGGTTGACAGTCGAGTTCGCCGACTCCCCATAAAAACATCCAAGCCGATCCCGATGTGAATACGTGGTTGAGGTTTTGGGGCGGGTGCACAGTAAGGGGAGGGGGGAGAAGGGGGGCGTGACAATTTTGGTTCCAAATCCGTAGTAACATACGGAGTTCGTGGGCAGAAGAGGGCTTGTTTTATGGCTGTACTGCAAATAATTAGCGGATAATGTTCCGTACTCCATATACGGAGGAGCATGGAGGATGCCCTTTTTTTCGAGGCGACTTACCGTGCACGAGCCACGAGGACGGGCCACGTGTTGGTTAGTTGATAATCAGCTGCACAGTTTATCCGCGGCTAATCCGCGCTTCCCGCTTAGCTTTGCCGGTGCGACGATTTTGAGCACGAGAGCAGAGTTCTGGTGGCTCAGCAAACCTGGCATGGCTCACTATTGGAATCAGATTGTTCATCGAGAAAATGATCATCATCATGATCAAAACAGTATTGTGATTTAATTATCAATGTGTGAGACTGGGTTGGTGTTGGAGCTGATTTAACAGGAAGTGTCATTTAGAGTCCAACCATGAATGAAATCTGCGCGCTGGAGTGATACATCATACACATTGCTCTACATTTTGGCAATGCAAACAGAAAGTCAATGGGCTCTATTGAAAATCGTTGTGCGACCCCAGGGTCCATGACAAGAGGCTAGAAGGCAGTAGAGGTTGTGAAAAGGAAAACACTGACAGGACACTTTTCAAGGCAATGAGTAACCCCGTCTCTAGCGGGTGCCTGCTTCTCGCAATTCCCCAGTGCATTATTGTAAGTTGCACACCAAACCTCCACTGAGAGCCAATGGATTTGCTTTGGAATGCTTGAGATGGCTCAGTCAGAATTACTTCATAGTATGGGAACGTTCCCTTTAAATTGCTTTGATATCCAAGGCCTTTTCATCTTTTAACTTTTCTAATTAATGGGCATAAAAGTTGTTTTAGACACGTTTCCAGTTGCATTGGCTTGGATTTGGAAGAAGCGCACAATAGATATTACTGTGGTGTTTGAGGGTAACATAAGGCCCTATTTGATGGAGGAAATCAGCGCTGGGAGTGGGGTGCTACTGTACAGCCTGAAGGTCGCCGGGAGCCAAGAACCCATGGCGAGCCGGGCGGAACCCATTTCTAGGTAGGGGCCAAGCTTTAGCGGAGTCCGGGAAGGAAGCCAGGACCCAAGCAAGTCCAGGCCTTGACCAAAATGTTTTATGATGTGGATGAATATGTACGGCGGTGGATTCGCACCTCCACATCAGCCCATGCAACATTAGCAGCTCGAGCCCAATATGTTGTGCTCTTCCAGGCCAGTGATCATCCTCCTATGGCTTACCCTCTTCCTCCTGGGACCATGGCACCAACTCTGCGCTGGCCAATCAGTTTCCTTTGTGAACAACCCAGAGAAAACCATCTTCGAGGCCCAAGCTCCTGAGGAACCCCCGAACAGCCTGGACAAAGTTCCCGGAAATAATCCAGCATACTTCTGCAAGTCTAGCTCGCCCTTTCAAGTTCACGAGTTCATCCTGCTTCCTAATCCACCAAAGCCGTAAATGCACCCTTTTCCTTCTGACCATATCCCTTCACCTATTCCTTTCTGTAGAACTACATACTCCCGTGATACGATCATAAATTCTACCAAACTGATATACATATTTCTCCTCCTTTACAAATATAGGTCGCTCCAACATTTTGCCTACCTAACCGGCTGGGCCCCGCACATTCGCGATCTCGAACTTATCAGGCTGTCTTTCACAATCTGGTCCGGCCACTTCAAGCGCTATGGCCCGTATGAATATCGCTTAAGCGAGGTCCCGTGGATCCGTATCCGACAGAATTTCTTGCTCCGAGAGTACATGGCGCCGGGCTGGGCCGAGTTGCTTGCCGAAAATATGCTAGCAGGAAAAAACGTCGAAGACGGATCGTATCGGGTTCATGCAGAATTGCTGTTGCCAAATCGGACCTCTTTATTGTGCATGGTTGCCGACGTGGTCATCAGGGATGGGACCATGGAGTTTTGATGGATGACCGCATTGCTCGGGAGTTGTAAGGATGGTTTTAAGCTTTGGTTCCCTTTACACCTGTCGAGTAATGGGGCGTTCGGGGCTTCTAAGCATATTATTATTGGCGCTGTCGGGTGCTGACCTGACTATGTGTATACGTTGCAGCGGATAGGGTCTGTTGGCCGCTTGCATCCGCTCAATAGATCGACTAAAATTCTGATATCGTTGTTCAAATATTTCTTTCTCTGGCAAGATAGAGGATATCCCCTCCCACGACCAAGTCCATCAAAATTAATCCCACACATTTATATATAACGTTACCCTTTTGGAGCCATTCAACAAGTCCCTTGGCGGGCGGATCCCCCGTCTTTTCCGTTGCATCCTTGACCATTAGCAGCTCTCCAATTTCGACTAGTTGCCGGGGTCACAATCCTCCGCTGAAGTCATGATCTTAAACCCGAGACTTGAACCCGTGCTCGCGGGTAGAAACATTGTGGTCAGTCCATTCTTTCTGCATATCGTGGTACCTTGTGGCTGATTCTCTCAGAAGCACCCGGGATCCTGATTTCCGGTGGAGTATGTCCTCAATGCTTCTGCAAGATTCGCTTGTAATTTTCGAATTTCATCTCCGGTTAGTGATAGGAGAAGGGATCGAACGTCATGATTGCTGAGGACCGTCAGGGGCATGATGATCTTAGTCTTCGCTGGTTATGCAAAGCATTAGCAATCGATATTTATCCACGGAGGAGTCTGGAGCTGTCCGCTTACCACATTTCAGTGTAGAACTACTTCGTTTCCGTGTACGCAACGTCCTGCTCGCAGGGATAGTTCTGAGCATTAAGTTAACATTGCGGATGGCCGTCCGAAGCTTCCAAAACACGTGGCCTGCGTGACGTCAGGGGTAACTTACACCAGCCCCGGCGATAGAGTGAGCGACAGCAGATTGAAGTACTCCGTAAAGGTAGCGGCTTAGCGAACAATGCTCGAGTGAACGCTGCTACGAAACCCAACCGCACTGTAAAATGTGAAGATACGGGATTCTAGTTTCTAACTAGTAGTTATATATGCCCCAAGAATTCCCACAAACACACGCATATTATGTTAGGTATAGACATCATGAGGAAAAACTGCACTGGTATCTGCCCCGCGTGCATTAACAAACGACAGCAATGGCCTTGGAACTTAAAAAGGACCGCGTTAATGCCAAACTGTGCATCAACAAAGGAGAAAGTAGCCAAAGGGATTTCACCAACTGTGTCAGAACTTTCATACAGAAAAATTAAGAGAAAACAGAAAGAAAAGAGGAGAAAAGGGAAGGAAAGAAAATGACAGTAACTAAAACACCGGCTGATTATTAGAAACGAAAAGCAGTCACAGCAGGAATAAACGAAAGAAAAAAACGAGAAAAGCATGCCTCCGGTAAAATTTTGCATAGATATTCTTAAGCCCCCCACATTTCTTCATCGCTCATTACCAGGTCTGCTTCTGTTTGCACTCGTGTTCCGTTCTTCCTTTCCATTTTCTTTCGCTCCTGTCGCGTAATCATACGACTTGGGGTCAAAGGTGTGATAGGAGTGAACGGCATATATGGACTATATGGCGTCCGTGGAATACCGGTTCGAGGTCCAAGAGGGCCAAGAATACTATCTCGCCTTTCGACAATCGTGGTCTTGGTAGGCGGGGCACTCATGGGCCCATTGTTGAATGCACGAAATGGAAGCGTGGAAGTGCTACTGCCCGCACTGCGGAGATTAAGATGCGGAGGCCCGCTGAAAGTGCTATCAACGGAAGCGTTCCGGGGATGTTCGAGTCTTGGACTCTTCGCTTTCGCCTTTTCTTGCTGTTCTTGTATAGGATTGAGTGGCGGAGGTCCCGGATGGTAGATACGTGGAGAAAGAGGTTGGTTTTCGGGATAACTCGGGGTCGTTACTTCTGGAGAAAGAATTGGAGGTGATATTGGGAGATTTCGAACCGATTCTCGACGTACTTTGCGAGATTTGGAACTCAAGAAGGATAAGGCGGAGAGTCTAGATGGCTTATCATTGCGAGGCGAGAATGGAGACTTTTGGGGCTCTGGGGTTGCTAGATAGGAGTGCTGGGGAGAGTGTGGTTGTGGTGGTAGCTGTATGTGGAGCTGCTTTCGTCGTTGTTGTTCTTGGAAGTGCGGTCGGTGAGGTTCTGGGTAGACAGGTGAAGGTAGTTCTCGTGACAGTGGAGACATAGGAGACACAGGAGAGAGAGACTGGAATGATTGCTGCCGCTGTCTCAGGTGTTTGCCCTCAGGGCGATTGGCTAGCGGGGAATGTGCCTGGCGAGGTGACCTCGGTGAGTTACCTCCATTCGACTCGGCCTCTGCGGCTCGTTGGGCATCATGCTCCATGACAGCTGCATACAGTCTTTCCATCTCTGCTTGAGCTTTCATACGGTCGGCTCGTACGATATTTTCGTCCACCGTGGATACACTCTCGGCCCTAGGAGAAACAGGGGATTCTCCTCGAGACCAAGGCATGTTGAAGGATCGATTTTTGGTCTTTTGAGGGCTTGGCCAACACTCGCTTTCTGTTCCACTCATAGGACTAGGCCAGGTATTTTTGGGTGATTGCGGAATTTGGAGAGAGATTGCGTTCACCGGTGCACTGAGCGGTTTGAGCATCTCCATCTCCAGTGTTCGATTCGATTGCTGAGCGCCTCTCCGAAGGCGTCTACCCACAGTGAGGAGACAGCCCAGGAAAACGGATACAATTAGAACGTAGGCTCCAACAATAGCAACAATCTCTCGCCAAAGCAGACTTAAATCGCGAACGGCCGAGGCTGACAGCGGCGGACCCTCTTCAGGCGGTGGAGCTGGATCATTCGCGATCTCGAAGTGCCAGAGCGAATTGGGTCGGCCCGCGGTCGGTACAGCGAAGAGGGCTTGAAGGAACAATGCGAGCATGGAAGATGTGGGAAGAGAAAGAAGAGTCGAAAAGGGACGTGACATGTCGCGACTCGGTCGTTTTTGTTATTCCATGCTCTCTCCTGGATGTATCAGACGCACTCCTCGTGACACCCGCGGGGGGGGTTGAGGATTACCACTCTAAGGGGCCGAAACTGAGACTATAAACTGATGCGGCCGTCGATCGGCGTCCAATCCGTCGTGAGAAGTCTGGTTTCCAGCATGAAATGAGGAGATTGAGGTGGGTTGAGACCTGGATGTCTCCTGCACGGGTTGGGAGAATTCGGGAAAGCGGTGTTTTCAAGGTCCAATGAAGAGGTCCAGGGCCGCTCGTATCGTCAGCCGGCTTCGAGGGGCGGAAAAAAGCAAGGTCCAATAGAGGCTGGGTATCAGTTTTTCGCTCTTTTAAGCGGTTTCGATTTTCCACACTACGGTGAGGGGCCGTGAATCCTGCAAGGATGATTTGCTGGTGGCTAAGCGCCGGGATGCAATGAAGAAATCCAAGGGCCGAATCAGTAGCGATCTCTTGGGATGACGACCCCGGCCACCGGACAAAATCGAAAAACTGCGGATTAGCGCGAGTCTGGTCTGCCGTCATTTCTGCAGTCGAGCAAGCCCATCACATTCCGTCACCTCTGATCACACCACGGTGATGGTGCCTTCGGCGCGATCTCCATCGTGGACTGACGTCCTCCTAATTATTCGGCTCTTAAAGTGACCTTTTTTTGTTGAGAGGCGATGCGCGATCAGAACGTCTCACAAGCTCCGTCTGTGCATGAATCACCGCCAGAAACGGCCCCCAGCACCATGGTGGCTTATTGAAGCAGTCCAGGGGAACTTTCGATGACGAGGGGGTTATTTGTTCGATGAGCAAATGGAACTTCGGAGGTCAGAAAAAGGGCCAAAAAATAAAATAAAATAAAATAAAAAGAAAAAAATTCATGTTCTTGTTCGACGCTCCACCCTTGCTCCAAACGAATTGAACAAATGTTTCTGTGCATTGGTTGTTTTGTTTTGGCTGTTTCTCTTTCACATAGTTACGCCATGCTCGTTTCAATTTGGGGTGAGGTTTCAATATCCTACTCTACATGTCCAGTATGGCAACACAAAAAGATATATCCCCAACGGTCCAAAAAGAGTCTCAAGCGCCGGAGTCAATAATATTCTGACTGTGAGAAACCTCTTGCTAGGCATGTCTGGCCGGCTGTCAAACCGGAGTCTACCGACAGGCACACCCCAGTGATAGCAGCCGCTTGCTTACTGCTAAGAAAGGCCACGGCGTTGGCAATGTCATCTGGCTCTATGACGTGTTTAAGGGGATACCATCTCATCGCCTCCTCAAAAACCTGCGGATTTGCTTCAACTCGGTGTTCCCACGCGCGTGTTCTGACAGTCCCAGGAGCAACAGCATTGGCGCGTATGCCAAATTTCCCGTATTCCACCGCGATGGATCTTGTTAGATGAATCAGTCCCGCTTTGGCAGAACTGTATGCGGGATTTCCAAAAACTGACAGGCCATTGACGGAAGCAACGTTGACCACGGATCCTCGAGCTCGTTTCAAAGATTCCTCAAAGGCATGAAAACATAGGAAACTGGCCTCGAGGTTCAGGGTGACTTCGCGCTTCCAGATTTCAGGTGACAATTCGTGTAATGACCCGGCCCAGGTCGCACCGGCGTTGTTGACCAAGGTGCAGACAACACCCAGTGACATGATTTTCTGTGCCATTTCCTGGACTTGCTTGTTGTCGGTAATATCACAGATCATGGCCCTCGCTTTCTCCGTCCCTAGAGTGTCTGCAGCGACAGTGACTCTGGCCTCGTCGATATCTACCAACACCACATGACTGTGGGTTTCCGCAAGTTTAGTGGCAATCGCCCGACCAATGTCTCCCGCTCCTCCTGTGACAACGGCTATCGAATCCATCAGAGAATGGCCGGTCTATTATTGGGAAAATTCCGACAGTATTCTTAGTTGGAGACGTCCAAGGGCCAGCATAAAGCAAGTTGCGGGTCGGGATTTCGTCTGCACTCGAAGTTCCTGTCAGCCGGGGTTGTATAATGGAGGCCACTCCTGAGAAATTCGTGGGTGCGCAGCAGGATGGCAGTTTCTTGCAAGAAGTCAAGGTGTGTATAAAAGGGATGTCACGGTCACATTGGTCCTTGTGCAGACTAATTATATTCATGAACCCACTGCCCCTTAGCCTCGTATAGTCATCCTTCTGGCCGTGAAATGAGGCCTACTTTCAAGGATTAACATCGCCTAGAGCTGTGCGGGGAATTTGCCCCCCACTGCATCTCTAGACATAGATAACTGCACTCCTATATGATGTATCACGCCAAAGACACCCCTGACGGTGTTCATTTCAACTGCACGCCCCAAAGTTTGTTTTGACGCCATTGTTTCATGTCGTTCTGCATACGAGTGAACCTTGCAGAGAGATTTATGACGATGCCCTTCTTTGCATTGATTTTTGCAGTTGAAGAATTTGATGTGTCGGTAGTGTGTGTGCGCCATACTGCCGCTTTACCAAGGCAATGCCATTGACGCCTTGGATACCCCCATTTTTCCGAACTGGAGGCCAGCCCTTCTACAGAGTACAGACATGTGTGAATGGAAATTGGCTAGTTGTGAACAGAGGATGGTGATGTCAAGCTGCCTCCACGCAGTCGCTGTTAACGCAAAAGGTATGCTTTCCGCCTCAGAGCCCAGGAAAGAGTGATGGCTGCTGCATTATTACTGGGTGAAGCCTTCCTGCAGATGCAGCCGGATGTTTGCTGCAGAAAATGAAGGCTTTTTAGGAGGCACGATCTTTAGTTGTTTTGGTGCACGTCAGCATCTTTCTGGTCCATTGACAATACACATATATTTCAAGAGAGGCGTGTCTATTCATCTTGGTTTTGCATTTCATTGCTGATCTTACTTCTGGCCTCTTGTCCTGCAAGACTTCACAATGGGAAACAAGGTTTCCGCGGTCAACGGTGTTCGATCACCAAACTTCTTCCAACCAGGAAACGCAGTGAACGAAATTTGGCTTGGCAAGCTTGAAATCATTTCGCGTCTCCCCTTTGGGGATTCAGACATGGCACAGGCAGGCTGGCCCAGAGGAGACTTTCCAAAGATCCCTTGGCGGCCATTCATCATCCCTCTACGAGCAGCGGCTGACAAGACAGCACGATCTATAACTATCCCGGCTTCTGAGACTTCACGCAAGTGCCTGTGGCCAGCCTTTGTGGAGATAATGTCAAAAGTGAACTGGGAGCGTATCTTTTGGATCGTGGAGCGGGCCATTGCAATCCCGGCTGTACTTTTTGTGATCTTCCTCCATTTTGGGCCAAGCAAGTACACTCAGTTTGCGGTAATCCGGCCATGCCTCGAGGACGACGAAGATGAGAAGATTGCCTTCCAGTCACGATTTAAGCGACAAGCAGTCTGTCTTCGCGCATGGGTTGCAAGCTCCGTTATGGCTCAGGTCCATCTACTACTGCTCGTTGAGCCAATTGTCAAAATTTCTGAACGCACAAACTCTGCTAGTACTCTTCGGTTTTTTCCCATTGGATTTGAAGGATGGTTTTATTTTATTTTAACTCTGCTGGGCAGCTACAGTCATCTTCGACTTCTGTGGGCTTATGTCCGACTGTAACGCCTCGTCGTCAAACAGATGTCAATAACCTGTGTCAGTGGCGACGGCTCAGTGTAACACACAAATACGGTATTGAGGTTGGCCTGCTGATGTTAATGATACGACTGACACTGAAGCGGGGGATTTTGCTCTTTTGTTTTTTGCTCTAGCCTTCGTACTGCCCGAGCTGATATCTTTCTTTGAGACGCGTTACGATTCCAGGGTAATGAACAGTGGGAGTAAGGCTTCGTTGAGAATCGTTTGTTTTTCGTCGATCCACGCTGGTAATAGGAAACAATCCGTGACGGTGGTTGGATTGTAAGACTCCGGCCCACGTGCACTGAGCTGTTAAAAACTCGGATACAAGCAGAAATGCCCAGCCTATTTTATTTGGTTGATCTAACATTTCGGTGACGTCCACTTTTGAAGTGCGACTGGCTATAGAGGAATGACCCAAACTGCGGGGTCATAAGGCTGGGAGTCGCATAGACTTGAGCATGAAATTCCAAGAACTGAATACACCGGCAGCGCCGCAATGCGAGATTTTATCTTAATGCATTCTTAGTTATCATGCTGTTGCTCCTTTTCTCCAGAGGTCGCGCCAAAACTGTTTGAACCCGTAGCCCTTAGATGCATCTTCATCGTGGACTCGTGCCGCTTGGCCTAGGCCTAGTACCTGTTGCAACGGGCCCGTCTCTCCTCTTGTCGGTGTATAGCTTGTTTCATGTGATCTCTGCGTAGCTCTTCTGTATACCTCCTCTGCTAGACACGGGGCAACTTCTGCATAACATGAGTCCAGCTCACGCTGAAGTTTGAGGTAGGGTCTCTGGGCGACCCTAGGTGCTTGCAGATTATAGGAACGGACCAGCTCGTTGAGCTTCTTTAATTTCAATTCGTGGTATTCTCTTTCAGCGGTGAGATATTGCGGATCACGTAAGCAAGGAAGGTCGGGGAGGGGTTCGGCCGTGCACTCGGAAGGTTCAGTTGCAGAGGGGTTCGAAGTGGTTTCAGTCTGTGCTGGGGAGGGTTGGGATGGTGAAATTCGGGATAACCGTCCTTCATGGTCAATTTGCGTCATGGGTTCGACTCCAGTAACGTTCTTCTCCGCCATCTGAATGGAATTCTGTGATTCATTGTGTTGTCTTGCTTCTGCTTCGGCGTATGCTCGAGCTCGCCTCATTTGCTCTTGTAGTGTTCCGCCTCGGCTGGAAATCAACCGCGCTGCATGCCTTTTCCAATCGCTTCGTAGCTGGGTACGAAAGCGGTGGATTTCCGCCGTTAACTCCTGTTGCTTTTGAATCCATTCTGGCGTTATTTCCTGCTTCTGCATGATGCGATTCATGAAATATTCCGTCGTATCCAAATACGGACTCCCCGCTATGTGATCCCGCTCAACATTCTTGCCTTTTCCTCTAGGAATATTTTGGAACTGCCCTTTTGCTATGGCATCTTCAATTCGTTCGTTTGCTAGTGAGCTAAGCCCCTGCAGGGACATTGGGAAGGCTCGAGCGCCAGGGGTAAATCGATCTTGGAGCTCTCGACGGTAGGCCTCTCGTTCTTCTTCGGAAAGACGGGTATCTTGGCTCAACTCGTAGGTTTGTTTACGTTCTCGGGCTTGTGCGAGTCGGCTCCCAGAGGACCGAGCGACTTTGGAGCCGGGTTGGAGATTCACTGGAGAAAGGGTTGGGGGTTTGAATGGTACTCGGAGAGGCTTCTTTGAATCATTAAGCATCCGAAGAACTGAGTCATGGGGATTTTCAGTGCCAGTCCAAGGAGCTGCAGCAGCAACGTCCTGCGTGCCTCTTCCTGCGGCCCGCTGTAAAGGGGGAATTAGCAAGATAAACAAAACGGGCAGGTCATTGGGGAGAGATTGAACTGCACCGGAGTATTCGCGATTGCAAAAGCCTGAGCATGCTCACTCTTGAACGAAGCAGCGGCTATTCTGTCCTCAATCTGTTGTTTCAAGTCATCTGAAAAGTCGGCCTCTCGCATGTTCTTCTGCGCGGATTTGCCCCCTAGCATTGCTTCTTCAGACATTTCTTTCATTCTCCTCGTCATTGCACCTTCTTCCTCCACTGTCGATCCATCGTTTTGCCTTTTATCCTTCTTCAGACCGTCCTTCTTTTGCTGGCCGGGTTCTACCGTTGTCGATAGTAACCGGATGGCATGTTGGAGTGAGCAGGGTGATCGTTTAGTCTCCACGTTGCTAGCGTACTGTAGAAATAATATAAGTCGTTTCTGATATTTCATTTTGGTCCCCAAATAAGTACATGTAACTACCAGTTACCTTTCCTCCGAATACTCGAAAATCATTCCCCATCCCTATCGCGGCGTTGCTGCTCCATGCTGGATAATCCGACTTTATCCGCCATCAAATGTGCTTACGTCAGCATCAAGGAGCATGTTGGAAATAGGGTTTAGGAGACGGGGCACTTTAAAAAAGTCCCATTCGATCGAAGAGCGCAAGCGTCGAGAGCAACGGGCTTCATAGGGGCGTCAATTGGGCTAGAGACCTATGATCCCTCTTCGAACTGAGTCAATGCAACTGTGACGAGAGTGATTAGGCTTTCTGCTCTGTTGTTTTCTTACCTCCACTCTACACTCATATCACCCTACGCGATTAGAAATCTTTGCCAGATCCGCCATGCCTCCAAAGCCGGTTCCAACGCGCATGAAGCCTGTGCGGCTACAGACAATCCAGAGTCTAAGAATTCAAAGGCCAAACAAGCAAGAGCAGAGCCCATGCCAGACTGCCATGAGCGCTGTCTTGAGTAAGCCAGAACTTTTCCCTCCTTTTCTTAGACCGAGTTGTTCGGCGAGATAGCAAGCTCCTGCTTAGGGAGTGTCTGCGGGTTAAAACAAAAGATAGAAGCTAATGTAGCTATTTATTATATTGCAGATTGCTGGGCGTCAGCGGGGCATAACATTCAGGGATGCCACGCCCTAGAGGACCAGTTAAGACAGTGCATGGACACAGCTGTGCGTGATTTCTCACATCGACCCTTCGACTTGCCTTACCTTCTGATCAATCCTTATGTTACTGACTCAATCGCGTTCGTTATAGAAATACCAAAAGCCGAAAAAGAGCACGATCAACTATCATCTTATGCGCATGTTCCCCAAGATCTCGGGCCCGAGGAAAAAGGACTAAGCTCTTGTCGACTTTCTCGTTATTGGCCATGTTACTGGATATAGGATATTCGAGCCCGAAAGGTTGTTCGCGAAGTAAATGACAGCAAAATACGAGTGTTAGGTCGTCCGGTCCACATGCCGTTAAAGCCGTGACTGTGTCGGAGGAATGTACAATTTAGCATATGGATGGAGTTTGATGGGAAAATTTTGGTCTCCCTTTTTTGGTCTTTTTTTGTTTTTCTTTGGGAAGAATGGGGGTGGTTTCTTAACCAGGGTGATCTTATTGAAATTCCTTGTCGGAATATATACTGTATATTAAATTCTGAGATGTTGACTTTTGAATAGAATCGTCACCCATTCAATTTCAGCACATCTTCAATTTGCTAAATACATACGAGTTTAAATCCTCAGATGTACGGAGTATATAACTATACTAAGTCAAGCAACAAGGTTTAGTAGCTTTATGAAGGCTTCGGTTAAGTGTTTGGGACTGCAAGTTAGATTTCCATCCAGGAGGAGGGGAGACATCTCCTACCTGTGAGAATGGCATTGAAGAGTGATATCTCTATATACTGGGATAATCATCGAGTAATTTCCTGCTTCAAGCGCGGCCGAATTTCAAAATCAGCCTGTTACTTGTGGGCCGCACCGTGTAAGCATCAATGGCTTCGATTCCGTCGTCGTTGACGATTGAGGTTGTGTAGTTGGAATATATCGCTGCAACAACAAGCTTCATTTCTAATGGACCGTTAGAACTTGTTAAAATGTGGATTAAACCTGGGGCCGAATACCTTGTAAAGCAAAATTGCTACCAACGCACATTCTGCCTCCGCTTCCGAATGCCCAAAACCAACGCCTCATGCTTTCCATCTCGGATACATCATTTTGTTTGAGCCAACGCCTCGGAAGCCAAGACTCGGGTTCAGGGAAAATGTTTGGATTTTGATGCAAGGAGTATGCCTGAGCACTCACTCTTGTACCGGGAGGTATTCCATCGTATCCACCGAGGCTACATGTTGGCGAAGGTGTAACACGTGGTTGAATTCCCGGGATCGGAGCATGTAACCGTAGTGTTTCCATGACTACTGCGTTCAGGAGTGGCAGCGAATCGATGTCTTTTGATGAAGGAAGGTCCGGCATAATATCAGCGTTTGCGGGGATGTCGATAGACGGTGAAAGCCCTCTAAGTTCCTCACGCAGTTCACATTGCAGCTCAGGATCTTTGGACAGTTCCCAGTAGAGGTAGGTGAGAGCAACAGCACTCGTTTCATGACCAGCTGTAAGTTGATCGTACAACTCGCAGGCTATTTCCAGCTTTAATTTCTTTGACGTTTCCTCATCCAGAGATTTCACTCCATCCGACGGCAGTTGCTTAACCATTGACATTTTAAGTTGTTTGTAAACAGTTGGTTCGGATTCAACGACAGTTGTCAAAAGGTATTTGTCAGCATTATCGCATATTTCAAGGCCCCAGCTTTCCATGTAGTCGTTGGCCTTTTGGCACCAGCTTGGGATCAAGGGCAGTTTGACCGTCTCCGCCCAAGCAACCAGACTTGGGACTTCTTGATGATAGAACTCGAAGGGTTTGCGGCACTGATAGGCCTCTAGCCACTGCTTTCGTGTTTGAGCGTCTTCCAAGAAATTCGTAGCAGCAGAGAGTCCAAAAATATATGCAGTAATAAAGTCCATTGTGATAGCATTATTAAGTTCATGGATCTCAACTTGGTCTGCTCTCTCTACATGGCGTTCAAGTATAGGGAACAGCCGCTGGAACAGTATCTTGCGAGAAGCTGCAGCGAGTTGGGGGGAACCTTGCAAATAGGATTTGGAGTATATGTTGGACATCATCCGTTTGCGAACAGAGTGAGGCCTGCTTCCAACCATCGAGAACATACTGATAGTGCTATTGTCACTCCTGTTAGAAAAAACTTGCCGTAATCACATTTACCAAATGAGAGGCACGCATACCCGAAGGCACCAAACACCCGTGGATACCAGTCATGCTTTTCAAAGCCACCAGCATATACAGTGCGAATGCCTCCATCAACGCAGTTAACGGATATTTCTCCTGGAGCGAGCCGAACAATAGGTCCATATTTATTATGTGCCTCGTGTATGGTCCTATTTCCTCTCATCCTAAAACGGTTCCATAATATCCAAAGGGGAGATATGGACGACGTGAAATGCGCATTTGGGATCTTGGAGAGGGGAGACAAAAGGGCCGGATAGATAATAAACTTATACACACCCGCGGCTAAAGCCGAGACGGTGATTATAGCCAATGTAGCGGGTGATAACAGCGCCATTGGTTGTTCGTTCTCTAAATCCAACTTCTCAGTTGATAGTAAGACAGAAGATGATTATGATTTAGATATTCAAAAGGTGATTCAGTCGAATTCAACGACAAGGAGACGTGAAGGCATTCCCTAAGAGATGCTCGACCTTGTCTCCGCATATTACCCAGTGCCAACGAAGACTTCTCTCCACACCGAGCGGAAACGAGGTCCGTTCGGGCTGCTGATGCCAGTCAGGTGTGCGTTGGTGAATCTGAGTTTCGGCGATAAGGCAGTGATCACATGACCGATGGCTTGGTTTTACGGAATATATTAAATCCGAATGTTTTGATGATGTCACCCTGCCTCCTCGAACGTCGCGCGTTTCATTCCTCAAGAGTCTGCTGCAGAGCAAAGCTCGAGGGTTTTCGGGTGCAGTATGGAAGATAAAATTCGAGCAAGTCTGTTGGTTCTCCCTTCTGAGATTATATACAACATTGTTAACTACCTACCAACTCTCGCTTCCATCACGCATCTCTCTCGGACATGTCGCCGGCTGTACGAAGTTATCTCTGCAGACCACTATCGGATACTACAAGCCTTTGTCAAAAGCCAATTTCCTTCAATCGAGACTCCTCCATTCTGGGCTGATGCAGCGCGGGCGCTGACTTCTCGATCTCGGGCATTTGATCGTAGAGCTGTAATCGCGCGTTTCATACTACCCCCAGATAATGCCACGCGAATCGGTAATCCACGGACCATTCGAACAGACCATCCTACCCTTGGATATCGTCCCGTGATTGATAGTTATGAAGTGTGGTATGGAAATTCTTGGTCTGCGAGGAAGGAGGTTCTTGTGTGGGGCGCTGGCGCGGACCTGGTAATCCGTATCAAAGACTATGGTCGAAAGTATCTAAAAGTTACCAATAATGCTGGCTGCCCATCCAATGCATCAAGGAGAAGAGCCAGCGGTACTCCTCAAGATTACGTTTCCTGGGCTACATTCAATGATTTGCATGGTGTGAACAGCTGGGATGATATCTCTGGCGTGCATTTACTCGGATCTTCTCACTCAAAATGGACTGAGGATGAGGATATCATCTTTGGTCGGCGGAATGGCAAGCTTGTTCGTACATCTATTTCAGCAGAAACAGGCTCTAGCAGGCTGGAAAAATCGTATCTTACACTAGGAGGATACCTCGAAGGCACCGACATAAGTTCCGGACCCTGCAGAATGCTCGCGGCATCCATGAATAGGAAATCAATTCTGTTTTTCCGAGTCGACGCCGAGGAAGACGAGGTTCATCCTTTCGAAACCCTCAAAATTACCGCTCATGGTCTTGGAAGACACAGATGCTCTCGGATTTTGTGCGATGAGAAGATTGCAGTGGGTTCTGATGGGGAGTCCGACAAAATCTCGGTGTTTAGCTTTCGCCCAAACGGCACTGTTAAGCTTCGCGATCTCAGGGTTGATGATGATGAACCGAGGAGAGCTAAAGCAACGACTATTGAACCCTTAACGGTATCACGCGTATCTGGCGGCAACCCTGGCGACCTTTTTTTGTCCGGCTGGGAAGATAGTAAAACGAGGCAAGTTCCCCTCCAGAGTGGCGCGGTAAGAAGTCGACTTCTAACAGGTCTCCCAGGCTGCATGACCTTCGCTCCCCAAGTTCGATTGTGTCAGTTTTCTCAGATACCGTCGATGACAGTCCTATCTACAGTCTCAAACCCATCGGTCGCGAACGCTTCGTCGTGGGTAGCGGCATCCATGCTCTGGTGAAGATCTTCGATATGCGCATGGGACGATACAGCTACTTGGATGCTGCCCTCCCAGCAGCGAGGCCTCACATTGACTCAATGAGCAATCACAATCGTCCGGAACGACCAGAAACAGTCCTATTCCCAAGTAAAGACATATCTATATTCTTATCGAACCGCATTCAAAACCTCCCAGGCCGAAGATTGAACCGTTTACGCGAACCCCACCGTTATCGCGGACCAATTTACACAATCTCTCAGCCCTCTCCGTCCTCATCAACATTCTATATTGGCGTTGAAGACAGCGTGATCCGCCTTGACATGGTATCGACAGATGACCTAGCCGGCAAAAACAAGGAGTGGTACCAACGCAACCTAGACCTGGGATTAGATCAACATGGTGGTGTCGATTGCCAACCCTTGGACTTGTCCTGTTATGAACGGCCGTTTCCTAGGGATCAGGGTAGAGGAGTGAGACTCATGATGCAGGATCCCCTCTGGATGGCGTTGGACGAGGAATCCCGTAGTGAATTGAGTAAGAGCGAAGTGAGAATCCCCGGCTGGGATCGGAGATGGTTCCAACCTTGGGTTGTAAGGAATAAAGTGACGGGGGGAACATGGCGAAGAGTGTCATAGAATGGGGCCGGTTATATATGCTAGACATAACCATGGCTTTCATTCAACAATAATAAAGTAAAAAAATTATGGTACGTATATAAAGAAGTTAGGGCGTTTGAGGATCAGAGAGAATGGAATGGGATAGAGTGATGTAATTCGAGTATACTTTTGTTTACTCCGGACCTAGGCGCATAATCTAACATAGGCTCTAGAGAGGTTACGCCGCCTATAACTCCTCGCTAAAGATGCTAGCCGCGGGGGGGGAGGGCTCATTGAATAAGAGCGTAAAAACGGCCGACAGCGGTTATGGAAACCTCTGGGATCGGACAGATATATCGTCACCGCGCCAACGGACCAAAAACCTAACTGCCAGTTCCCGATCTGTGGCACACCGCGGATAACTTGAGAAGCAAGCAATGACAGAAACAGCAGATCTGATACTCGTGATGATGCCATGCTAAGGATAACGGACTTCTTAACATAAGTGCCCGAGGAAACCCAGTAGTTTAAATTGATTTAGTCTTCAAACTTAAACCCCTTGCCGGGTCCGATATCGATAGGGCCCCCACGGTATGAGCCACGTTTCTTTTTGTTTTTTTCCTTCGTGAAACCTTTGCCGCGGGTTACAGAGAGATCCTTGTGGGCGCGATCCGCATATGCGTAAGGCACGTATTCGTTGGATGGGTGATTGTGCCATTGTTCGCTAGCAATTGCTAGAGGAGTGGGCTTAGCGCCTCTATAGCGTGGGGCAGAGTCATTAGAAGTTGAGTTAGATCTTGTGAGAGCGGTGCTGTCAGTTGGGTTGTCAGATTTCCCATTGCCTGTGTTGAGAGCATCGGGGGAGCTAGATGAAGCGTCATGCAAGGTTGTACTGGAACCTGCGGACGATTCCCGATTATCGATGGCAGAAGCTGGTTTTTCGTCCTTTGAAGAATCGGAGTCAGACTCGTCAGAGGATGAAGAAGATGAGGAGGTAGAGGATGAATCACTAGATTCGCTATCGCTGTCGCTGCCGGAGTCAACATCTTTCACTTTCGCAGGCTTCTTTGCTTTAGCCGACTTAGATTTCTCCGATTGTGAGGAATTCGAAGATGAAGTTGTCGAGGAGGAGCCAGAATCAGAATCGGACGACTCAGATTTAGGGGACGATGCTGATTTAATTGATTTGTTAAGTTTGTCCTTGTCTAACCTAGGTCGCTTCGCCGAAGGAGAGTCAGACTCCGAATCCGAGGAAGAAGGATCCGAGGACGACTCATATTTTCGCTTCAGTAGTTGGCCTGAACTTTTCTTTTTGCCGTTCAAATTCCGGGCGCTTTGGTTGTCTGAGCTGTCATCACTCCCGGACGGGCCGGAGGAGGAGTCGGAAGAGGAGCTGGAAGAGTCAGAGCTGTCGGCAGATGCTGAGCTGGAAGAGGAGCTGGAAGAGCTAGAACTGCTGGAAGAGCTACTCGAGATGCTCGAATCATCAGAGGCGGAAGCATCGGAATCGCTAGAATCATCGGATGTAGCTATATTCTCACTACCCTTATTCCCGCCATCGGCATTTTGTTCCGATCTTCTCTTCTCATCAAGTTTATGTGACTTCATTAGCTGACCTTGTTGATCCCAAGATTCAAACAGGTCAAGTACACAAGGAGGGCTCGAGGCTCCTTCAACCGTTTCCTTCGGCTGGGATTTGGATTTGGATTTACTTTTCCCAGCGACTCCTACTCTAGTGACTTCGGTGTCAAATACGGCTTTGGTTTCATGGAACCCATATGCACTAAGGAAATTCCCAATCATCGCTAGAAAGACTGGATTAAGAGTCCTCTTTTGAGGCGAGCCTCCATTCGCGCCATCTTTTGCCTGCTTGATTCCGCATGCGTCAGCAACTTGGATATAGAGAGCGCCAGATGGCCAACAAACCTTTTTCCCTTTTGTCTTGTCTGCTTCCTTTTTGAGAAGGGGGTCTTTCGCATTGGCACTGCCCTTGCTTCCCTTTCGAGGAGCCATTGTCCTTTACACGGCACCGGGAGTGAGGGTATCAGGGCGTGTCTTGGGAAGGCTGATGTTTTCCGAAGATATATATTGTTGGTCGCGGAAGCAAAATTTTGCAGCAGGACCTCAAAAATCAGATAAACCGCGTCAAGCCTAATTAGGGAAAGTGGCCGCCAGGGTTGAACGCTAAATTATCGGACCAATGAGAGGCCGATTATAAATCCATGCCAAGGCTAGCTTACACTCTCTCCGACTGGTCCGTTCCATAATGTTCCAAGCTAGTACAAGATTTGCTCAACCAGCCTGACTAAATACTGCAGACCTGCGTGTGCCGTATTATTTACAGCGTTCTGTTACGATGTAAGTTACGGCGGATTACGATTACATAAGGATCACTCCCTGGAACGACGAGCTCCTCCAGCACCCATGACCAGATGAATGAAGACGGACTATTAACTGTTTGGGTGTCCTTCAATCCTCTGCTGCAGGCATCTCCGGGTCATGGTCGTTTTCACCGAATACGATCTGTGTTATGGGCGTTTGCATCAGGTAGTTAAGCGCATACCTCACGTCTAGAAACGCCACCTGGCCACCATTATTATTGCTTCGGTCTCACCTCTCCATACTAGAATGAGTGGGCGTGATCGTCATCGAGGGCTCCCCTCGAATTTATCACCTCAGAAAGAACGTCGGCCTGGCGGAGACTTTCGTAACGGTGGAGGTCCAATGCCTGGAGTATCGGGCATGTCGCGGGCAGAAAAGTTCGAAGACGAAAAGCAGCGGATTATTCAGAGTTGTTTTTCCAAAAAGGAGCCAGATGGATCGGGTATGTTGCTTTTAACAGTTCCTCAAGTCTAGCTTGGGGTCTGTTCGTGTGGACTTTATTGACGCTATTTGTGCTTTGAGTAGTTGTCGAATCCTATATTACCCATATTCGCGTTACGGAAGATGGCGCATACCCATCTAGTCCACCACCACCCTCCTCCCCGCCAGAGAATAAGAAGCCAAGGGTAATCATCGTTGCAGTACGGAGGTCGGGAAGGGTGCGAATGCATAAAGCCCGAGAAAACAGCGATGGCTCATTTTCGATTGGGAAAACTTGGATGTTGGACGACCTGGCTCGCATACAGACCTTCGAGAATCTAGTTCCCTCCAATCCAATCGAGCAACAACAAAAGCAATTGGCGTCTAACATCGGGTTTGTGGTTACAATCACTAAGCCGTATTATTGGCAATCGGATACCCCAAAAGAACGAGACTTTTTTATCGGTAGTCTAGTTAAGATCTACAAGAAGTATACTGGTGGCAAGGTTCCCGCGTTGGTAGGTTTTGATTCTCGAGATAGAGATATACTTACCGGCAACGTACCTGGAGGGCCCCATCCAGCCAAAGCCCCTAAAATTTCAGAACCACATCCTGCCAGGCCAGACCCACGGCTTCTCCGCTCGAGATCCCCTTCCGCTCAGCGCAGCGTGCCACAATCACCGCTTTCAAATCGTGCTCCAAGTCGCGATGGCCCCCGAGAGTCTCGAAGACAGCCATCAAGGGAACAATTTATGCGACCCCAACCAAGCCAGGAGCAGATGCCTAAAATGCGGCCCCCATTCTCTCCAACTCAACCTTTACAAACACCGCCGTCAAGAGATGGCCTCTCTTCGAAGGCTGCCGAATCACCTGTTCTCCCAGACTATACTCCTCCCACATCATTCTCTGCTGAATCGATGTCAAGGCACCGGGCCGGGCCTGTCACTACCGATAGTAGACAAAATCAGGCCGTTGAGACACCAATTAAAATATCTGCGCCCCACGATAACGAGGGGCCTTCCCACTCTGTCCCTTCAGCTAACCAAAATCAGCCTGTTGTGCGGAATAACTTGCAGCTCAATCTGGATCTCGAGGGCGGCTCACCTTCGGAGACGGTAAAGCAAAGGCTTTCACCTCTGGATAAGCCACATGATTTTACATCGGGAATTCTGCGTCCTTCTCCGGGAGGCTCTAAAGGAAGCATTGAGCAGAAGAGTCTTCGGGCTGATACTGAGGAGAATTTCGTCACACCTCGCTCTACCCCTGGAGCTTCTAGGACGGAAATACGCCCTCCGTCGACTGGAAGTGGCATATCTACTAAAGGTTTTGATTCAGAGCTTTCACAGCGGCCCGGTGGCTTATCCGATGAAACAGATACAGCGCCTGCTCTTCCTTCAATTTCTACGCCTATCGAAGACGTTAAACCCGCTATGTCAACTATTGAAGACGACACTTCTCGTAGGCGAGGATCTGCGGAACCGGCTCCGCTACAAATCAGCATTAAGAAAACAACAGTGTCTCCCCAATCAGAAGAAGAAACTCACAGACCCGGTCTTGGTCCAATGGTAAAGAAAATGGGCGGGAAAGATCTTGCTAATACCTTCAGAAAAGCCGCTACAGCCTATGGTGCTTTTAAACCAAGGGCCGGAGGTGCTGCAGAGCGGTTAATGGCAGCAAAAGAGAAGTCCGATAACGAACCTGATGGTATTACCAGCGTTGTTCCTGCACCCTTCCTACGCGCGCAAGTCAACGAAACTGGAAAATTAGCTACCCAAACAGAAACCACAGGGTCCCAGGAACTATCCAAACTTCAGGTCACAGATGCTTCTTCGGAGAGAAGCCTGTCCGTTGGAGCCGCCGCACGCAAAAGGAGGCCAGTATCACCAAGGCCTCGTCCAGAGGCTCGAGAGGATAACAGTGCGCAATATTGCAATGCCCTTGGAATTGATCATAGTCTTCTGAACGGACGAGGGGTAGACTTTGATCACATTCTCACCGACCTGGGGTGGGATGGTAAGCTTAAGGACGGCAAGACCGCCGACGACCTCGAAACGGACATTCGGAGGGAAATTGGCCGAGTTCAGGCCAGTAGTTGGCTAGGCCATCTTGAGTCCCAGGAAGGCCAGGTCAATGAACTAGCACAGTTGTTTGATCGTGCAATAGAAGAGTGTGAGGAACTGGACGGCCTTTTAACGTTATACTCGCACGAACTTAGCGTACGTGGCCTCCATGCAAGATCTTCCCCGGCAGTAATACTGACTTTGCTTTTGCCCAGACACTGGCCGACGACGTCGTATATATCGAGGCACAGGCTGAGGGTCTCCAGGTCAAGGTTTCAAATCAGAAATTACTCCAAGCGGAGCTACAGAACTTACTCAAATCCCCCGAGAGGGATTAAATAAATGCAGCCGCACAGATACCCTTACAGTACTCTACAACTTCGCTTGCAGGTCATTGACGGTTTCAATCTCCCGTTCTTCTTCAATAGCCATGATGTTTCTTACGAGATGGTTGCAATGATTGATTAGGGCTCCTGGTGTTCGGCTGAAACTAATGCATAAAGGCGTCCTTGATTTTACATATTTCTTCTACGAGTAACTAGTCCTTTTTTTTTCTTTTTCCTTTTCCTTTCCCTTTTCCTTTTTCTTTTTTTTTTTTTTTTTTTTTTTTGCTTTATTGTACGAAGTATCTTTCACTAAATAATAGTTAGCCATGTGAATTATTGACTACTATCTTATCAACTTTATTATCATTACCTCCTGGACAGTTGATCGATACATGTATACAGGGGATGTAGAGTTCACTTTGGAAGATTTCTGGATACCCGCGCAATTCCTTGCCACCCTTAGGGGGTAATTGGAGTTTCTTCGAGTGTCTGCTGCACTTTCGAGAACTGTTTTGAAATTTTGCGGAGAAGAGCGATCCTGGTTGGCGCCCGAAAAAGTTGTGGTGGTTCGTCTTGGCGAGAGTTCACTAGTGAGTTAACGAAAGGGACGTGCTTTGGATCTGGTCAGAGCGAAATTCAACCTCCATATCCCCCCCCAATCCCGCAACATTATTTCTGTGCCCAGGTGCCGGACAGTTCAGAGTTGGCTACTAAGCGAGTCCATTCTCTGGTTCACGTCCAGTAGTCAAAACCGTGTTTGGGCAAGGCGCCGGGCAGTTGACATACAAGGTACCCCTTTTTGTCTCTGCAATAATAATTTGTCACCCAGACCGTCTATCTTGCTTCCCCGGACTCGGAACCTAGCATTAGACCCCGACGTCTGCGAAAAACAATACATGGACTGAAACAGACAGAGGCAGAGCCATGCAAGCGTCCGTCATCATACGGCTGGCGGAAAATAAATCGGCGAAAAATTTGTCCAACCATTGATCAGTTAATGTATGTTCCCCCGAGCTTGGGGCGTAATGCAGTCAACACGCGCCTTGATACTCCTGAAATTCTCTGTACTCGGTACGAAGAGAAAGCTGACACCTCCTCAGACTGTACTAGGGATTCGATGCGCAATTGCATCCATTGGACCTTTGAAATTACGATTGGATTGGATAGTTCGACTTCACGATTCTTTCCCTTCAATCTTCGACCGCTCTACGGACTATGTACATGTGACAGCATTGCCTGCGATTTTCTGGTTCCTGGAACTTTTCCTTTCCTCCTAATTATTCTTACTGGATAGACCCAATTTGTTTCACCTACAAATTATATCCCTTCGAGACTAAATAATCACAATGCCTTGGCGGCCATTACCCCGGATCGCTTTCGCGGTCGCCGTCTATCCATTTCAGCCTTCGTCACCCGCAGATCTTCCTCTCGAGCTCGGAGACGAGTTGTACATAATTGAGCAAGGGGGCAAAGATGGCGCGTGGTATAGAGGGTACCTGGTTGCACCGCCCTCTCTGTTAGCAGGGCTCACCAGCGTCAAGGGCCAGACGCTGGAAGCTCGAGTGTTCTCCGGAATTTTCCCCAAAAACTGTGTAGAGGTCCGGGAGGTCCTCGAAGAAGCCGATAAAAGCAAAGAAAATGGAACGAACGGTGCGGAACTGGTGCATGTTAACGGCACTTTGAGACCCATGGCGGATGGCGGCAAAACGAACAGTGCTAATGGCCTCGGCGATTTAAAGTCTTCTCGAAAAACGTCCCAGATAACAGTCATCAGGTTAGAAGAAGACCCGAAGAAACGTCGTTCTGGATCCCCTCTACAGTCACCTTCTATGGCATTAACACCTCGCTCTACAAGCTCACGAGATCCTAATGCTCCCAGACCACCTGCACCTGTCCCGATGCTTAAAATCGGGGATGAAACGCCTACGTCTTTATCAGAGCCTTTGGTTGATGAGATTGCGTCGTGTCTACGAGAATGGCATTCGACAAACATACACGAACTTCTGTTGGCCAGGCAATACACTGCGTTGGAAGATATGTCAAATATTGTTCTAGAGCTGGATCTTGCACGGCGACAACTGCTTCATAACGTTTTGACAGCCCAGGAACGGACATCACTACGAGAAGCAACCGTTTGGAACTTGGTACGCGGGAATAAAACCTTAAATGGAGATGTTATCGTTCGCGATCCAAAGCAAAGGGGCCGCCTCCTCACCGGTGAGGATTCAGCGATCGACGTGGCAAAGCTTCAATCTGAGATGAGCATGCTCGATGGTGAGACAAAACCAAATGTGGATGCCGTCTCCCTGCACCATTTGCTATTTGAAGTAAATGCAGTCACAGGAACAAAGGCCGGCTCGGTATCTCTTGCGATAAGCCTTTGGCTTCAAAATGCAAAGGGAGATATGAAGCAATTAACGGAATCGTACGCGTTGGAAATTCCCTCGGCGGAGACCTTCGCTACAATGGCCCAAAACGGAACCTTAAAGACTCTCTTTACGGAACTAAACGCTGCGGATATTGGTGATAACTCTGCCTCAGGCTCAAAGATATATCTCGTCATTAAGGTGTTTAACCCCGAATCCGCCAGACCTAGCTTTACATCTAGCTCACGCGCGTCATCTCGTGATGGGACACCAGCTACCAAAGCAGCACCAGCATTAAATAATGCGAGTAAGGGTAGTTTGAAGTCAAGACGGAGCATGATGTGGGGGCCGAAACCGAAAGGGTTATCGCATCTTGATCAAAACGAAATTGCCCGATCCTCACAACCGAGTGAACCCGCAGGAAACGGATCCGGAAATCCTGAAAAGCCAGTCAAAGAAGTCCCTGTCTCGCGTCTGGCTGGCATTGGCGTTCTCGAGATCGGCTCTATACTTAAAGCGGACAAAGATGTGGATCATGTTATAAACATCTGGTCTCCATTAGGCCTTACCGATGAAGAAGACAACTATGCGGAAGGATTTGACAATGTTATTCGCTCGCTTTTACCCAGCCCCACGAGCAGGTATGGCAGATGCTATCGCGCATCGAGACTACATATCCACCTTTACGCTTTTGCGAGCGACGATACGGAGAGCCTTATTCGAAACAATCCCACACTGCTTCATAAAGTCGCTCAAACGAGAAGAATTGGTTTTCCAGCTGCTCCTACCAAACCTCGATCTGACATATACGTAAACCTGTCAAAGGTCAATATCTCTCAGGATGCTTTACTTTCTCACCCAATAAATGGCCAGGTTGCCGTTCCTCAGATCACCGGGTTGAGGAACTTGCAACTTACTATAGAAGCGCGAAATGCATCTGGAGCCAGGATTGAGCATTGCATCTACCCGTCTTCAAATTCCTCAGGACTGACGGCATGGAGAACAACAGTTGCAGAAAGAGGTTCTGGTTGGAACCAAGTAATTCGCTTAAATATTCCATCAGACCAAGTTCAGGGTTCTCATTTGATCATGAGTGTGGCGGACGCTCCGGAATTTCCCTTTGCGTTGAGCTGGATGCCCCTTTGGGACCAGCAGGCTTTTATGAGAGATGGGCGTCATTCACTACTTTTACATGCGTATGATAAGCATACCTCGAGTGTCGAAAATGGAAAGGGATCATATTTATCCTTACCTTGGAGCGCACTTGGAAAAAACGAATCAACGAAAGATGAAGCTGTGACAGGACCACTTGCGACTCTAGCTCTCGAGACCGAACTCTGCAGTACGGAATACTCCCAGGATCAGGTTTTGCTGGGGCTAGTGAACTGGAAAGAAAAGCCGGCGACTCAACTCCTCGAGCTTCTAAGAAGAATCGTATTTGTCCCTGAGATCGAGATTGTTAAGCAGCTTCGGGATGTCTTCGATGCCTTGTTTGGTATCATGGTTGAGCAGGCCGGTAACGAAGAGTTCGAGGATCTAATATTCAGGGACCTCGTCACAGTCCTTGGTATTGTGCACGACCGTCGGTTCAACCTAGGACCCCTAGTGGATAAATATGCGGAACATCAATTCAACTTCCCGTTTGCTACTCCATGCCTTCTACGAAGTCTCTTGCGCCTGCTCCAAGCCACCACAGACCCACAGCAGGCTCGGAATCTTCGTGCAGCTTTCAAAGTCGGCAGACACCTCTTGAAGTTCATCATCAATGCTAGGGGCCAACAGAAAGCTAAGGAGGAGTGCATTGGCATCACAAATATCCAGTCGACCTTTAATCGCGATCTCCACTCTATCTTCGAATCTGTGGAGTCTCTCATGCAAAATCCAGCGCCGAATTTGGTGGGCAGCAAGACTCTGGCCGTGCAGCACTTCCACACCTGGCTTCCTGAGCTCCTAAACGCATTAAACAAAGACGAGGTTATCAAAATTGCCTTTAGCTTCATGGATGCCTGCAAAGATGTTAAAAACATGTTGGTTCTCTATAAACTTGTACTCATTTTGAATTATACAAGGCTTCCCTTGTTTGCAGGAGAGGACGAGCGGAAACTTCTCGTCTCCAAAAGCATCCAGTGGCTCGCACCTTACTGGGGAGAAACCCCGGAAGTCACCGACCAATATCGAGATCAGGTTCGTCTTTGTTCATCTGTCGTAGCAGAACAGCTCCAAAATCCCGGACCAGAGCTTTTCGAGTATATGCCAAAGGCCGTTGCATCGTACTGCGCTATCGTCGCCGACGGTGTCGATGAGACTGAATGGCTATCTCTACTCTTTAGCAAGGCCTTTCCGTTCCAACTAAAACAGTCGAAAACTAAACAAAAATTCGACGAAGCGCTAGTGGAGCTTTCTGCAATCATCGCCGCAATGTCTAAGTTGCCGAAGCAGAAAGAATTGTCGCTCTCCCAAGATGAGCTAGCAGTTTTTCTATCCCACACATTCCATGCTCACAAATCCGTCCTCAGCTGCGAAGCATATCCAGCAACATGGCTAAGCTTGCATATTTACCATCACCAATCTATCATGAAGAGTCTGGAGGATCTTTCTTCTATCCTCATCAAATCATTCCTTCCTACTCCCGACGAAGCTGATACTTTCGATATGGAGCTGTGGAGGCTATTTTTCACCACGCTCTTGAAGCTTGTGTCGAGCGACGCCCTGGCCCTAGAAACTTTCCCTGAGCAGAGACGGCGGGCTGTATGGAAGATTGCGGGAGATGTCCGTGAACACGGGGCGGAATTGCTTCAAAAGACATGGCGGTCTATCGGTTGGGATACCACTATTGAGGAGCGAGCCCGGTACGGATTGATAAAACTCGGAGGTTATCAAGTGCAATACGTCCCTGGCCTTGTCCCACCAATTATTGAGCTTTGTCTCAGCGTCCATGAAGGCCCTCGGCGTGTCGCCGTCGAAATTTTACAGACCATGATCGTAAGCGAATGGCAGCTAAACGAGGACCTCTCAATGGTTGAAGCAGAGATAATATCCAGCCTTGATGAACTGTTCAAGACCAAGCATCTCACGGAAAGCATTACTCAGAAACTGTTTATAAACGAGCTGCTTGGATTGTTCGAAACAAGCTCTTCCACTCCTGATGCCGAATTGATGGTCACGTTAAAAGAGCTCATTGCAACTGTTGATGAATTATTGGATCTCCTGGTTGCTTCTCACAACGGGAATATCACGGAAAGTCTTAATACTATCAAGCTTATGGAGTTCATGAAGGACATGGAGCGGGAAGACATCTTTATTCGATATGTCCATGAGTTAGCACATGGACAAGCTGGAGCACGAAACTACACCGAAGCTGGCCTTGCTCTTCAATTCCACGCCGATCTTTACGATTGGGACATATCAAAGACTGTTCCTGCACTTGCAAATCCGTTCTTTCCTGAACAAACGGCCTTCGAACGAAAAGAGGCACTATATTTTGAGATTATTCAACACTTCGAAGACGGAAAAGCTTGGGCCCACGCATTGTCGTGCTATCGGGAGCTCGCAGACCATTACGAACACACGATAATTGACTTCTCGAAACTATCGAGGACGCAGGCGTCCATGGCTCGAATCTACGAAGCAATCGTGAAGGAGGACATTTTAATTTCGAGATATTTCCGTGTCACATTCAAAGGTCTCGGCTTCCCACCCACTCTACGAGACAAGCAGTATATTTTCGAAGGATCACCCTCCGACCGCATGATCACCTTCACTGACCGCATGCAAAAGCAATACCCTGCCGCTCAAATTGTTCACTCCAATGAGATTGAAGATCTCGAAGGCCAATTCCTTCAGATTTCTCCTGTCAGTGTACATAAGGACATGAATCATCCAGTGTACCAGCGCCCGAAAGTTCCACAATCAGTTCGAGAACATCTCTTGACTGCTATGACTTCTAACTTTTCTGTCACATCTAAGAAGCATATGAGTGGCAATCAGGTAAAAGAACAATACGTGACAAAAGCAGTGTTCACAACAGCAGAACCGTTTCCTAATGTTCTAAGGAGAAGCGAAATTATCGAAACCGAAGAAGTAGTTTTGACACCGCTGCAAACAGCTGTTGAGCGCACGTCTAGGAAGACACAGGAACTGCTCATCCTTGAAAAGAGGATTTCCTCTGGAGATGATACGAGCCTGACAAGCCTAACGGAGATTCTTGGCCACATGCTAGATATTCAATCCTCCGCACCAACATGTGTTGCCCAGTATCGGCAATTCTTGGTTGATGAACCGAAAATACATCTTGAATATGACACAGAAGATTTCGAATCCGTGCCTCCCGTGGATCCGCTTAAAAATGCACTCGTCGTTGCATTGGTCGATCATGCTCTTGCCATGAAGCGGTGTATCGCCTTGTATTCGCAGCCAACGTATGAGGCTACGCATAATGAGCTTACCCAACGGCTAGAAGCTGCTTTTGCGCCTGAGCTTGCTACTCTCGCAACTTCGCCTTCGCACCAGTCACAACCTGACTCATCCAGCCACTTCAATCCTCGAATCGATCCATTTACAAGTGGAAGCATTTCGGGCTCGCCATCATCCCAAGCTCGATTACCTAGCCCCAAATTAGAATTAGGACGGCCTTCTCACGATAGCACCGCAAAGCCAACAGACAAACCGCCAGCTAGCAACCGTCTAAGCCTCAACATATTCAAACGCTCGAATCACGCACCATCTAGTTCAAACGCGACTATTACGGCAATTAATGCCGTTATTACTCCTCAGAAAGATCAGAATAGACACGACACTACTCATATAACCGGCATCTCTTCCGATCGTCGAATTAAGACACCAAAGTCTGCTAGCGTAAAATCCGATCACGGTCGTGAGCCGGAATCTTTTAATCGGGATCGCAGTCATTCGCGCGGTGGAAAGAGTGATACAAGCCGAAAACGAAGAAGCTTCTTTAGCACCAACGAGAAGAGCGCAGTTGGAGCTATTGAAGTACATAGAAATGCCGCTTCAGTTCCACCCGCAAGTCCACCCACAGAAGACATGCGCACGACGCAGCAAAGAATAATGGAGCGAGCAAATAAATCCCGGGCGCAACAGAATCAACAGGATGCAGGCCGGTGCAATTCCACTCCCAACAACGCTGTCCAACGGGGAGGGCAGCAAAACGGTTCAGGCGACAGTCGCCCAAGGACATCAGACAAGGGCACGGGGCGTCCAAAGACAGCTCACAGTTCTAACAGCGAACACGGCATCAGCAGTGGTGGAGTACGAGATTCTGTGATGAAAAGGTTCAGCTTGTTGAAAGTAGGCCGCAAAGCTAGCAAAGCTAATTTCCGTGATGGCAACCTTGGAGGCATCCTAAAAGAGGAGTGACATCGTCCTGGTTAATTTCTTCTTTTCTTTCACATGTTAGGGATTTTGGAGGTAGGAACTGATAAATGCTGGGAAATTTTCTGCATGTGATTGCCTTTTCTTTTGATGGTTTGCTTTATTACAATCCTTTCTTCTCATCTTCGTGGAGCGTCCATAGATGCGGACTTCTCTTCATTTTCTTTTTCATACCCATTTATATTCACTTGATACCAATTTTTTTTTTTTTTTTTCTCCTTTGATGAAATCTTTGCTGGCCTGCACTCTATTCCTTTGAATTCAAGCTCTTTGCTTAATCCCAATTCTTGCTATATATATTATGTATTGTCCTTGGTTTCTACTAGGTACTTATATTTTTCCTTCCCTTCTAATTGCCCTTGGCAGTACCATGAATAGCATATTTCTAGTAATTAATTGTTCATTCCATAAAATCTAGAGATAGATTCCCAGAAACAAAAAAGATATATATTTCACCAGTTATACCATAAGCCTTGTGATGTAGTAACTATATTGATGGTAGCTTTTTATGAAGACTTCGCGGGTAGGTATGTTTACCATCTTTGACAAACCACAGATATGGCCCTGCGGTGTTTCTAATCACAAAACGATTCCTTATTCAGGTAAATACATCTATTTCTGCTATAAACACTGGGTTAAACAAAGCAAAAAATCCATAGAGCAAAAAGGAGATCAAAGGCGAGAAGAAAAGGAGAAATTGGGCCAAAAAAAAGGAAAAAATTATTACCCACCACATTGTTCTTCCAGATGGCGAACAACCCAGTTCAAACACAGACCCTATTTACATGATCACAGTTTGATCGTAGTAAAGATCGCACGAATGGGGATGCTGTAAACAATACTTTGGCTGCAAAGGAGCAGCCATGATACCGTTTGCAACAAGATATTCACGGAAATTAAGAATTCGCTGTGTCATAAGTGTGGTGCGCTTCTTGCCATCCTTGCCCACATTGCCGGACCAAACCCGCTCCGCTAGGGCTGCGGCGCGAGGCCACATTTTATTCGAAATGACAACATCGTCGGCTTGTTCGGACCATAGCGGGGCAATAGCACCGATAACGCGCTTCTTTTCGGCATAATTGAGTCCGTCGGTGAAGTCGTAGTTGTAGATTCGCTGCCAGGTCTTGTAGGGCCCACACCAGGAGCCACCATTACCGCCGTAATTGAAGTTGGGTGTCTCGGGATCAGGGTTCTCCATGACATTGTAACGAGGATCATTGCCGACCCAGCCACCATAACCGCAATCAAGATACAGAAAGTCTGCAGAGGAAACGATGACTTCGTAACCCCTAGCGGTAAGATTTTTGATGTTAGCGAGGCCACCATTCCAGGATTGCATGATGATGTCTCTTGGGACCCTGTGGGCATGCATGTTTCCCGAGAGAAGCACGTCTTCCCACATAAGAAGACGACGGTTCTTCTTCACTTTCTTCATCATGGGTACAGTTCTGTCAACCCAGTGTTGGAGAAGGTCATTGAAGGTGCGAGAACCCTGCTTGAGCCAATCCCTGACGATTTTACTCGTGAGGAAGCAATTGGGTTGTAGTTCATCACCACCAACATGGAACCAGTCATCGGTGAAAATCCGGCTAATATCATTGTAGACTTTCTCGACGACCTTGTAGGTTTTGTTATTAGCGATATCTAGTTGACCGGGGTTCGGCTGGACAGCTGTGTGTTTCTCCCAATCATCATTGGACCACCAGGAATCTGCGCAAGCCACAATATCTGGATCAATCTTTCGCCAACCTGAGGCGGAGTGACCGGGCATATCAATTTCAGGGACAACACGAATACCACGAGCTCGGGCATATTCGATGACCTTGCGGATGTCGGATGGGCCGTATGTCTCTCTGCGGGAGTATGCATCCTCTGTCATCTGAGGATATGAACGGACCTCAACCGGCCAGGACTGGGTATCAGTAATATGCCAGTGGAGGACATTAAGCTTGGAGAGGGCCATTCCATCAAGTTGCTCAAAAATCTTTTTAACGCTGATGAAGTTGCGGGCGGTGTCTATCATGATGCCACGAACCGGATAGAGAGGATAATCCAGAATATTGACCGGCTGTTCAACCAAAAATCGCCCACGCTTGAAAATAACGATCTGCTGGAGAGTGGTGAAGGCACGGAGAACGCCCCAAGTTGTCTTAGCGGTGATCCTGATACTATCCGACTTGTCCCGAATCTGTAACCTATACGATTCATCGACGCCATGCTGCAAATCAACATTGGTGTTTTCGACATTGACGCTAACTCTAAGGATACGTCGATTTGAATGTGCGTCGCGCTTATCGTTGCCTACTATAAAAGGCGCAAAAGTTGGGATCGGAGCTTCTAGTGCCGCTGGCGTCCACCGCAGCTGTACGATAGATTCCCAAGTGCGACGCCATGCCGCAATGATCGTTCGGTCTCTGGGGCCACTGTATTTGACGTTCCAATCAAGATATTGAGGTCCAGAGTCACCCCATTTGATATGTTGAGGGGCAGGTAGCGGGTTGACTTGGACTGCTTGGGCCAGGCCAGCCAGCAGCGAGCCCGCCAACGTCGCGAGGTAAGCGAAACGCATGATAATATGAGACGAAGGTCGCCCAAGCCCAACGACTTGAAGAGCTGGAAAGGTGGTGCAGGTATCGGTAAGTTTCTTAGTAAATGATCAACGAAACAAGCGAGGGAGCGTTTAGTTATATATCAAGGATGCACCCTGATATCATCGTCGACGGGGGTTGGGTGGTCAAAGCTCCACAGCAAAGCGAATGATATGAAGATAGGGAAGCGTGGGGAGGGAACCAGCCAGCCAGTCTCCGATGGGTAACTTTCTTTAATGTGCAACCTTGCCACGCCATTTACTGAGAGATCCACTGCAGCTCCCGGACTGTTACCAGACTGCAGCGGTAATCCCCTCTGCTATCGTGGAGTTGACCCGCGGAAGACCCAGAGAGCATCCCCAGATGTAACCTGTGCAATTTTAAAGCGCAAGTAGCAGTGGAAGGACCAAAACAAAAAAAAAAAAAAGGCCCTCATTTCATTGAAGCTCCTCATGTTTCCCTAGAGAACTAGCGAGAAGCGAAGGGTGCCGACATGCTCGGTTGTCCATGTCGGTGTCAGTGTCAAGTGTCAGCTGCCCCGATACGCGCTGCTAGTGTGACATTTTACCAGAAGCGCTCAGATGTAACGCTGTCATTGCTTGTATGCGCCCAACATGACCAGCGGAGACCGGACGGGGTTTGCGGGATGCCTTTCTTGTCTGGCATTCTGCACGGCAATTAAGCCCTGACCAGGCAGATGACATGGTTAGGAGGAGAAACACGGCTAACCTTTTCGCCGCAGGTCCCTGGACCCTGCGCGCGCACGCTGCTGGTGTCGCCCAGCCACGACCCCGTTGCACATCGCGTTGTCGAATCGAATGCCCTTCGCACACGAAAAATAGTGTACCCGTGTGACATACTCCGTACGGAGGACATGGCCAGCACACCAAGCTAACACGTCGTACAGAGCTTATGCAGCTCGCGATTAGCTACAGGCTTAGTGATGAGACTGCATCTCGAAAAGCGCTTCCAGTCCAACCATATATGATCAGTTCTCATTGTGACTAACGAACACTAGGCTTGATTTCCAGGCTTTCCATCAGAAAGCGTCTGCGTACATCTAGGCAATCTTTCGTGAAGCCTAAAACTCGGCTTTGGGGAGAGGTTCCGATAAAACGTGCACGCTTCCACACACCGAGACACCACTCATTAACGGGGGAAAAAAATCAAGGGAATCACAACCCCTTTGACTCGACCATCAACTTCTCGCTAGCCGCCTGCCGACAACGGAGGAATAAACACATTATTCCCTGGAACAGGTGAAAAGGCAATATGGATGTGTTTCGAGTGCCTTGACCAAAGGAACCGGTTCGAAGCATAATTCTCTTGTCGAAAAACTTGAATGATAAAGAGCTTCGCCCTGAGGTTTCCAGAAAGTTCGTTCCAGAAAGTTCGTGCCTTTCCATTGCAAATGCGATCCTCTACGACAAGCACATATTTAGTTAATTGAGAAAGAATATCGAAATGTGTCGCGCCTATCGATAAAGGTCTATTGATAGATATGAAAAATTCCGAAGCTTCAATGCAGAGAATATGATCAATTGGGTGCGCGATGTCTCAATCTCGCTCAGAAAAAGCATATCACTTGTAAATAGCCTATGGCATGAGATATTTTTTGAAGAGAGATATCTTATCCTCAGAAAAAGTGGCTTACGGCATGTTTTGCAAGACAACATCCCGCGCTTTGTTCGCTAAACCTCGCTCGCCTTTCCCAAGGATATGGACAATCAACAGAGGACTTCGACGATCGAAAGAAATTTGCCAAACCATAGCGGATGCCGTGGGTACAGTGCACACTCTAGGCTGAAGTTCTCTGTAGGGTGGGAACTGTCTTCAAGGTCCTTGGGCTTTACAGTACTCCATTGAGCTCAGCCAGGAAGAGAGAAAGGCATGTGCATATACATACTGAGTATGTACGTGAATATCCGTGTTTGGCATTTATTAAAAAACGATCAATCAATCTCATTATTTCTAAAGTTCAACGGACATTTCATTATGGTACTTGACCACGTGCAGGAGATATTGAGCTCTAAGATAATAGCACTGGTTGACAGACGGAGTGGCACTCCTCAGATCGTCTATCGAAAACCTTGCGTGAGGCAGTCCAAAAGCCATTTGTCGATCCCTATATATCCTCCATGTTGGGCTGTAAGTTCGTTCGAAGACATATCGACTTTTTCCAGCCCGTCTTGATGCCTGTGAAGCGCTTATTAGAATATCCGGAAGACAAGTAAATATAATGCGTAAAGGAGCGAAGCATCAGATCTAGGGTCCGATAAGGTCGCCAAAGCTGCGTACATTGTCACCACGGGGCCCAAATAATCAAGGTTTTTAACCGATCGGTTGAGTCCTCTAGAAAGCGAATCTAAGCTATCGTCGGGCAGTGCTGCGATTTTGAGATACGGTTAACCAGAGACTCGAACCAAATTAGAATATAATGGCTGGATAAATTCTTTGCTCTTTAGGCTCGTGGCAACAAAAGCAGGAAAAAGAGCCCGGCTTTTAAGGGCTTATCCGATCATCTCCTCATCTAACACTCGTGGGAGGTCAACGTCTACCAACCATGGGGCATTTAGCGGATCATATCCCTGTGTCATAATGGATGCATTCACAAACAACGTCTCTGCTCCAAATCTTAGAGGATCACCACCATCGCGACTTAAATCCACGAACGCACATCGATTCTTCAACTCTTCGGCCCTATTTTGGGGGATGGTTTTCAAGGAATCAGCATCCCAGTTCATCCTCACGGCTCCGTGGCCTTCATGGATATGCCCAAAGCAATGGATTAGAGGCCTTGCGCGGCCCACTGCTCCACGGAGATGTTGACAGCCGACGTGTCTATTTGAATGAACCAGGTCCAGAAAACCCAACGGTGGCCCGTGGGTTAGCAATATGTGCACGTCAGGAAATGATGGGACTGGGTTCTGCGCTTGGAACAGTGCGCCCTCTGGAGATGGGTTGAAGCGGTCATGAGCACGGTTGTAGGCAAATGCCCATCGACAGAACTCGGGCTGATATGGAGTCGCATAAATGGTAAATTGAGCACCATTCTTTAATCTGAACGTCCGTACGCCCTCTTCCATATAGACGATGCCGTATCTCTGGGCTTCTTCCCCGCAGTATAGCTCTCTGATCTTGGCAAGATCCTCAGGTCCTGTCCACTTGTGCTTTAAATGGCCGACAGAGTTGTAGTATTCCTCATCAAGCGTTATATCGTGGTTTCCGGCAATGACAATTTTCAGCTCAGCATCTGCCTCTTTAAGCATGTCAATCACCCCTTGATGCTCCTTCTCCCTGCCGACAAAGGTCAAGTCCCCGCCATGAAGAAGGACGTCAGCCGAAGGCAGCGGGCGTCTGTACGGCGTATGTACCTCTCCTGGAGGCAGCGGCGAACAATTGTGCGTATCGGAAATCATGCAAATGCGGGTTTTCACCAGCTCTACCTCTATACCCGTCGCCATAGTGGTTGAAATAGAGTTGCTAGTCTTGATCTGGGCTGAAGCAATGTTGTGTTTGGATCCCGAAGAGCTTGTTCAAAGGCCCCTCGTTTTGGTCTGCCGTTCTTCCAGGACGGAGCCCCGGGATTTTATTGACGGGGATTATTCAACCAATGTGGCACATTTCTTGGCTCACTACTCCGTATGACCACCGAACATAACTAGTACATAGAATATAGTGAATGTATACAGTTTGGGGCTGATGACGTTGGTAGGGCGGGTTTCTTGATTCTAAGTAGTGCCGAATGAGTCATTTCCAAAACGGTCTCGTTTATCTGGGAACAATATATTATTTCTTTTTGTTCATTAAAAGTAAAAAGAAAATTTCATTCCGATTGGTAATTCAAGGTAGCCCAGAGTTCTACAAACATGCATGCGTTGGTACTGCTCATCAACATAATTTTTGCAAATGCAGGAACTCCGACCGAAAACCCCATCAAAAAGTGCTTTACTTTCTGATAGCACGTTGGTAGAAAGCGAGCTCCTCGCCCTCAAGAATGTAACCATCAACCCGACCGCTCTGACCAGGTCTAGAAGAAATAACCGCATACAAACGACCGGCCTCGAACTGTCTCTCAAGAGCTGGCTCAACCTTTCCGTGGGCGGCAAATCGGGCGGCTTGCTTCTTCTCAACGCTCTTGGACTTCTTGGCCTCCTCGGCATCGGCGGCCTTAGTCTGGCGTCTTCTGCCCAAGGGCTGGCCGTAGTGTGCTTCGTACCATGTTCTGAAAGGAGCAGCGTCGACCTGGACGACAGCGGACTTGGTGAGGGTGTTGGTGCGGACAAGTTCGTTGTTCGAAGGGTGGAAGGCGACAACGATCACACGGACTTTACGAGCGATTCCCTCGGATCCCCATGAAAAGTTGCCGGATTCAAGACGGAGAGCACGGAACTTTTGGTTTCCACCACGAGTGCGGACAACGTGGATTCTCTTAGGACCAATACGGGTATTGGCTGGCTGACGGCCCTTCTCGAAAGCTCTAATACCCAGATGTGTGTAAGAATATATGCGGTTTAAAATTCAAAAGGGAAACGTCTAAACGGAAGACGAAATCGGCGACAGGACTATCCGTACCTCTTCTTTCGGTAGTGGGACCGCTTCGCACCGGTAGCTGAACGCTTGTGGCGTGAATCTCTGGAGATACCCATGATTGCGGTTTCTGGACTGGACTACTCTGAATGGCCCAAAACGAAAGAAAAGTCAGCGCAATCGGCCAAATAAAATAAAAGAAAATCTTCTCTGGAAAGTCAGGTGGAAATCATTCGCGCTGAATAGAACCGCGCGCGTGAGAGACCGAGTATCCAGCAGGTTGACAATAGATGAGGTCGCTCCTGGACCAAATTCGATCATGTTTCCCAGACAAACGCGGCGAAAATTCCCAAAGAAATGCAGCGAAATCGGTCCTCACCTCTTATCTTGCAGTCCTTCGCCAAAGCAACGCGGTGGGCAATGTCGAGGGGTTGTCGGGTTGATTGAGGCTTGTCGTCGACGGTTAGGACAGAATTTCGCACAGTGGCTCGCTTGTTCAAAATTGCCCTACCCTAAGAAAACGCTAGTCCATATTGGGCCTAGCGCGCGTCCCACCTTAAGGCGGCCAGGAACTTCCAGACGCACTACCTACACGTCAAACCACTTCGCCGACCTCCTGTTACTGCTGCTGCTGCTGCTTATGGCACGCCAGTCCTTACAGCTCCAGCACCCAGACATCTTGGATTCTCTACCTAGTTACACGGTTTTTTTTTTTTTGAGATGATCACGATTGCGTGTACCCTGGATGAACAAGGTGGAACGGAAGCCCTCGAATACCGAGACCTTCGCCGGCTGTCCGGATACAAAGCCACCGACGTTTGTCATGGATTTCACATCTTGCCTTCCCTACAGGACTTTCATTGCCCTATGAGGCGTGTGAAGCTCGTTAACCTTATATTTTCTAGCAAAAAAGCATGCTTTCTATTTCCTGGTGCAGTGGCCCACAAACTGCATCTACAGCCAAGCGATCCATATACAAAACCATCGTAAAGTTACTGGATTCTTCGTTCAGATTCTCTTCCAGCCTATCGTCAATTCAATCGAGCGGCCACCGGTATAAATAGGAACTTGCGTTGTGCCTCGTGGGATCTCATCTGCAGAAAAAGTTGAGCTGCCACCAAACGCAAGCTTCTCATCGTCGGCCTATTCCGCAAGTAGGGAGGGTTAGGCTTCGGGTTCCGTCCAAGAGCATACATGAAATATATTTTATTCGTAAGCATAAACAACTCACCGTGAATACGCTGGGTTCCACATCCGTATCGCACTCAAAAACTGAATTCCTAATGCCACAATCACCTTTACTGGAACGCAAGGTGAAACCATCTCCAGAAGGGGTAGCCGTAAATGTTGCGCAGGTGCCTGTGCTATACCAAGTACCATAACTGATAAGGCAGCCGGTCCTTTTGTTACCCGAAGTCACTTCAAGATGACCCTTTCCCTGAAAGGCGCCTCCAGTTCCAGTCGGCGAAGGGGAGCTTCCGGTGGACGTAGGTTCACCTGAGCGTGTAGATGATGTCGGGCTGGATCCACCCTTGGGAAAATACTTGATACCGCTTTCCGGGCACGTTGATGAGGCACCACCTTCAGGATGAATGGTTAGAAAAACGCCGCAAGACTGAAAGGTGAAAGGCTCTCTTTGTCCGGTGTCAGAACAAACCTGGTTTAGTTGGTACGTATTTCCCTGACTGTAGGCTGCCCTTTACATTGAAAAAGTACCAGACTTCATTCAAACGTGAGTCTCTACAGTTCAGAGTGACTTCCATGCCATGACTTTTTGAGATTGCATCCTGGAGCTCTCTCAACGTATACGTCTTTGTCGGGTGTGGCTCAATTCCGGCCGCAGCTAAAACCTGATTATAATTTTCGCATCAGTTGTCGTTCAGCAGAAACCAAGCACTGTAAAGTAATGCCACCAACCTTATAAGTATCCAATCCCTCAAACATCTCGGCTGCTTTTTCGAAGTAGTCAACCACTTCTGCCTGAGGTTTATACCCCGAGTAACAGCGGGTCTCCAGTGTGCTGATGCAAGTACCATGCTTGTTCCACTCGTGCTCCCAGAGATTTTCGTCATTGCCTTTCCAATCTTTCCAATAAGTACTCATGTATTCAAGTAAATGCTCCTTGCCATGAGATTGTAATATATCTGTAACGTTTTTATATTCTCTGTTCTTGTCACAGTACTGCTCGAAAGATCCGTCGCAATTGTCAGGCCTGTAGAAGGCTTAGCTTCAACGGCTCCATGCTCCTAGCAAACGAGGGGATGTCGATAGGTAAGAATTGCATGTGGTTGAGATCAAAAGGGACGCACCATAATCCGTGAAGAGTCCACGAATCCTCCGGCCCCGTCGCCGGTTGCGCATCCCAAAACTGAGTAAGAAGGATCAATCCACCAGGCGCGTTGAAGCAGCAAGTATCCTCCACCGGGCGGGTATTATGGCAACTTAGCTCGACATCAGCTGGACACTGCTTTGGGGCTGAGTTCACATTTCTCAGTAGGAACTGAGACGTGCTAAACGCAGCGGTGAAATGAAGGGATGAAGTTAGTAGCAGGGCTGTGATAGTCGACTTCATAGTTCTCGTTCGAGCTTGCAAATAAAACTATTCGACTTAGGATAAAACTCATAAGCTTTTCCTACCAACAGGACGTTCTCCTATCGAACTGTTGAATAAGAGACCTTGGGTAGCGGTCTACTTTATGTAGTTATTGATGCAGTTCCCAATCCTTATAGGATTTATCGGGACGTCGGACAGTGTAGCCTCTGGGGCTGTCATGTCACGGGACTCACATGTTCATCCTCCGACTCGTGTGGTCCGTGTGCGACTTGTCAATCCCCTCCCCGTTCCTGATAATATTCCAGCGAACAAATAAGATCAATCGAATCCAGCATTCTGCACGCATCGTCCAGACACAAAAGAGAGTGATTTGCTCCCGTTCGGCGAGTGGGACCAACCCGACAATTGCCACCGCGGAGAAAGTGCATCGATCCGTGGTGCTGATTTGCTGGGCTAGAAAAAAAAAACCCCCCCGGTGTTCAAGGATCTGCAAAAAGGTTTCATGCTCTGCCGGCGGGAAGGCTGTTCAAAAGTTTCAAGAACATAGCCCTGGAACACTCCGCGCACACAGCCATTCTTCAGGACTAATTGGGTCACTTGAGACAACAACGGGCACCCAGACCGCAACTTCAAGTGGGTATTTAAATCATTTCAATTCTCTCCCAGAATATCTTGATATTCTATCCACAAACATATACAAGCATAGATTGCCTCAGAGAGCTGTGGATCAACGAGTACATTCATTTCACATGGATATTCTATCAGCCGTGTCCGTCCTAACAATGCAGCCCAGAAACACAAATTCTAGAAGGATATTTCGCGAACACGCCGAGGTTTGCCGAGTAAGATGAGAGCTTCTAGAAGAAAAGAGAGTGCATAGAAAACGAATAAGAAAAGAAATTACAATCCTGCTACTAGCATCAGACCATATCCAACAGTGACCACAACGGCAAAAGATATCACGCTGGCCGGGACACCTCGGGAAATAAAGTGTTTCACTCGAAGATATCGTTGTCCGGTCTCCGGCACCTCCATCATTATAGCGGCTATCGAGAAATGTTAGCCCAGCGACAAGCACAAAAGAGAGATCGTGAGGGATAAAAGACTTACTCATATTTGGGAAGCCGCTGGTAGGCAAACCCATAGCAACAGAGCACATCAATGCGGCCCCCATAACCAACAAGCTAGGATGAGGGTGCTCCATTGCGCTGCCAACTTCATGCACTAGTGGCAGTAGGATCAATGCCGCAACAGTATGTGAGATGAAGGTGGCGATAATTAAGATCAGCGATGAAAGGGTAAACATAACTCCGTATAGGCTGAGATTCTCGACACGATGCGTAATTCCGCGAGCAATGGTATGCAAAAGGCCGGAGGAAGTAACCGCTTTTCCGAGACAAAGGCCCCCAGATGCAAGAATAATGATGGTCCATAGGAAATTGTTGAAGTCCTCCTTATTTAAAACTCCGGTACCGAAGAAAAGAACTAACGGTATAATGGCAATGACTCCCATATCTCCAAATGTGCTTTCCATTTCATGGCTGACACACCACAAGACAATGGTTATGAGGGTCACGATCGTGATGAACCATTGAACGCCAGAAAACTTATCCTTGACTTGGCGAATGGGCACGATGGTGGTACCTCGCCCGGGGTGGAAGGTAGCAACAAGAAGTACCCAGATAAGAAGAATGCAAATTACGCAGACAGGTATCGAAATGAAAAACCAGGTACCCCAGCTAATAGGTGGATACATGTTCTGCAATGCAATGATATTTTGGGGTGATGCAATAGGTGAAGCAGCGCCGCCGACATTTGACGCAAGAGCAATCCCCAAGACGAGGGCTTTGGAAAATCGGGAATCGGGAGGGAGATTCCGAAGCATGGGCTGTATCAGGAAATTAGCAGGGAATACGACAAGGGGAATATGGTTCATAGCACACCTGGATGATTGAATAGCAAAGCACGGGTGCTGCCACGTTGCTAATCCACATACTCAAAAACATGCTGACAAACATATTCGTAACCAACACTGTTCGCGGCCTTGTACCGGCTTTGCTAAGGACGAAAGTGGCCATCCGGCGGGCGATGTCGTGTTTGGATAGCGCTGCGGCAATGGTAAAGCCACCAAGTAGCAACATTATGACGGAAGTCCACATCGACGCAAAGGCGTACTTTGCGGCATCCTTAGGGTGCAATCGTGAGCGGTCTTCATCGGACCTCATCACTTGAAGAATAACAGTGAGGAATGGTATCAGGATTGACGTCACGAAAAGCGGAATAACCTAAACACACAGTTAGGGAAATATCATAAGCATTTAGGAGAGATGTAGGTACCTCAGTCGCCCATAGCAAACTAACAAAAGCCAACATTGCAAGGCAGTTCTGCTGCTCAGGTTCGTCTATGATTGGCACGGCGAGCATAACTGAAAATATAATCAATATTGCAATTAAGGTTGCAAAGTTCGATGTTAACATCCAGCTTGGGACGGGGCATCTGCCGACGGGAGTAACAATTTCCTTCGTTGGAGGTTCCTGTTCATCGCCCTGTCTCCGTGCGGCCTCTGCATCTTGAGCACCACCAAGTAGAGTGTTTCGGATACCCATGTTCGCGGCTTGCGCCTTTCTTTCAATTCCTATCATCTCACGCCAAACGGTATTCCGCTCCCAGACCACATGCTCTCGAAGATGTAATCGAAGCTCCCGCTTTGAAAGCGAAAGGTCACCCTTAGTGACAGTATCTGCGTAAAGTCGTTCAATTCTAGCAATTTTGTCATCTAGGTGCTGGATGGTTTGATTTGTGAACGGGTACGCAGTAGAAACGGTGGTGTTCATATAACCTCGCCTCAAGCTCCGATCAAGGATTTTGTCATACTTCTTCAGCGCTTTTGAAAACCCAGTGCGGTTCAACTGAATGAAGGACTTGAGCCCGCAAAGGGAGACATAGATGCTGATGATATGCTTCTTCAAACTGACACCAGCATTGTACAAAGCCAATAGATGTGGGTCATGTTCATGTCCAAGGTCAGAGGACATTCCAAAAAATCTCGAGTCACTCATTTCGCTAATCGCATGTCCATCTGAAGGTTCCCTTCCATCAGGCTCTCTCAGCGACATTGAGCGTCTCCGTATATCGTGAGAAGGGAGCTCGGATATATCAACGTCTTCTTCACTATAGGCGTCGTCTTCATGAGGATTTCCCTCTCCACCTGCAACCGACTCGCCGGCGGTGCTTGCTCTACGGTCATTGGAGTGGCCTGCGCCCCGAAACGTACTTGCTCGTCGATTATAATTCCCGAAACTGAACGTCCTCGATTTGACCATGGAATCGGCAACGGAGTCCATGTTGAACCCAACGCTGTCCGTCGTGTACGACTCTGCCTCATCGACCACATCCTCCACCTCCTTGTATAAGTCGGTCTCCTTTGCATGATAAAAGGAGCATACTTTTGCTAGTTCCCCATCTAGTGTTCGCTTAAATATCGAGTCCGTGTCAAGAGCGCTATCGAGTAACGGAGCCCGTTCGAACTCTGCATCTTCCTGTAACTCCGGATTGTTTACCTGCTTCTCAAGGGAGTATATTCTACACGAGGAAAAAGATATTAGCAGGGGCAGCTCAATAAATACGCTCTGTAAAAGTCAGTCTGTGGAATACTCACAGTTTCTTCAAATTGCTATAGGCAATGTAGTGCTCGCTCCACTCCGGCACCGCGTTGAACTGGATACTATGTGAGAACTTCATGATTTCCTCTACGGTCGCTAACCGTGCTAAGGAACGGGAGCTGAAAGGACCACAGAGTCGATTTATTCGTTGAGAATAATTCCTATCGTCAGCTCCGTCTCCACCCTTGAACCCATCGAGTTCAGTTCCCTTCGCTGCTTGATCGCCCCTGATGCGGTGGAATGCCCCAGGTCTGGTGTCCCTTCTCCTCTTCCCGAATAAATGAAAGCGCCCCGCTCGATCGGGGAAATTTCCACTGCGCGCCCTATTTTCGTTGGGGGGAGTTGAGCTGCTTCGCTGGTGAGAAGGCTTGGCGGTGTTGTGGTCGAATTCGACGAGCTCGATGCTCCTCCTGCTTCGAGCCAGGGCTGCGGGGCGTCTCGACGGACGTCTTCACAGGGATATAAAACGGTGGGTGAGCCTGAGTTGCGGCGTCTCTCAAAAAGCAAGCAGAAGCGAGCGGGTGGGTTGGACCAATGCTGAGTCGAAGGTCTTTTCGGGAATGGTGCTGGGACGGTCCGGGGTACGGAGGTCAGCAGGATTACTCTGGATTGCTGTTGGTGGGAAACGGGGCTTCGGCCTGGGCCCTGTTCAATTAAAAAACATCTTTAGTTCAACGGTTGCAATTTCTATTTGTTGGAGACGCTTGGGGTTTACCCACTGCGAACACGGAGAACGGAGTGCAACAAGTCGATCGGATTTAAAAGCAATGCTCCGAACTCGTCGTCGTTGTTGTTGTTGAACCGATGGAGCTCGATCAAAATTTGACCAACCTACATAACGACGTCAGCCTGTTTGTCAATTTCCCCGGCCGCTGGCAGATTCCCGCAAGGGTGGGAGCGCGGCTGATCTGCTCGTGTTCAGGCCTCCTGGTGAAGGTGAGTGCGCGTACCTGCCTGGCGGCTCAGAGACGCACACCCTCGCTCGTGCCGCTGTGGAACGCGCTGATTGGAACTTGGAAGGAGGCAAAAAGCAGTGCCGGTGGCGTCGGAGATATTCCCAAGATCAAGGCACAGGCAAGTCGCCTTCAACTTTGCCTGCCCTTTGGCAAGCTTTCCAAGAGGACAAGTACGGAGTAATACTCCCAACATCTCACACGTCCGGTTTCGACACCCCCCAATGCTTCTCCGCCACGCACCCTGCAAATCCCGATGTCACGTGAGTATGTCTGCTCTCGTGCCGTCTCTCAACACCAGAAGAGGCCCAGTTCGTTGCCGCTGGCATCCTCTGGCCGGCGACGAGATGCTGATCGGCTGTTTACCATTTGCCCCGCTGGTCCCTTTGCTTTATCCCAGCCTCTATGTGCCTCATAGGTGATAGTAAAACTCCGTCCGGAGGCCAAGAGCGACATTCCATGGCCTACAGACCATGTGGCGTCTTCGAACCTGCTTCTCCTTGTTGAGATTTGCTTTTGACGTCCGGACACCTACCTATCCTTCACCCCTCAGTGATGTAGTTCGTTGATATTATGGTCACCACAAGCCCAGGTTACACGCAACAGGGATGCAAAAATGGGTCCAGTGCTTCCGATCAAGGGATGATGGTTCGACTTGGAACAGACCAAGGTAGCGACCGAACCACCATCAGAAACAATGATCTCTAATACTAACTCTCCACTCGAGCATGGTTTAATTATTGTGTGGGAATGACAACTGGCAGCCGAGCGTCTTGCGTTGCGAAACTGAACAGGTGTGGAATTTTCCATCCTGATTTCGCCATGCATACAGAGGACATGGCACCCGCTCGTGCATCAGGCATGACCCTGCAAATCTTCACACCACGGGCTCCACCCTTTTTGACTCCCGGACACTCGATCCACAGCCAACCTTACCGCAAAATGGAAGAAGTCAATCTGGTCACAATGCAAACTTTCTCGCGGATTTACAGAGTATTGGAAAGGCTTCCCTGAATTTTACTATGAAGGAATCTAAGATGATGTAGTGCGCACATCAGATGAATGAGGGACATTCATCCGCGCACGTCTCATGGCCAAGCTACAACTTTTGCGGTCGACTGATCTTGAGGGATAAATTCGGATTTCCTGCCCAAGTGAGGGCCATCAGAATTTTCTTCATGCCAGCAGGGGTCAAACAAGATTTTTTTTGGCATGTTCGAGAAACTTGCTCAGTGCCACCGAAGACTTTTTCGCTCAGGAATCTCCCTGCGGCGTTGCTGTTTTGAGACATGGGCAGCCAGCGCTTCCTCTTTGCGGCTTAGCCAAAAGTGGGTCAAAACACACAGTCGTCATTAACTAGCTGATTGATAAGATGATCTTATCTGATTTTACTCCTGCGTTGGAACTTCGTTCCGCCCAAACTTGTGGCTTGGCCGCCAGGATTCCGGAAATGGAATACAGGTTACGTCCCAAATGGAAAGACCGTTAGAGATTCCATCCAGCGGTGGAGTGCAAAGGCTTGAACTGATGAGATTCGCGCGCAAAATATTTCAATATATAAATGCATCAATTGCCAACTCTCTCCTGCTTGTCGGTCCTTGTTCATTTCGTATTTCGCTCTTAACCAGGCGCCGTTGACTAATTCTCACAATGGCAGACCATCAACCAACACTCAATGATCTCGCAGCTAGGGTCACCGAGCTTGCGAAGGAATTTACCGACTACCTCCAGGAAAAGAATGTCCCGCCGCCAACGTTTGCCGCAGATAGCCCTACAAGCTATAGCAATCTATCTCCAGAAAGCTTTCTGACACGCCAGATGCTATCGGATACTCTTATGGATATGTGGTACCTGGTTCAGGGACCGAGTGAGAGCATCTTCAACTATGTTCATACTGTACGCGTTTCTCCTCCTGCTTCCCGTTTCCTGTTTCCTGTAGAACCGTGAGCCTCCTAACTTTTACAGTGCATGCCTGATGCCGCAGCTCTCCACCTCCTGAATTATTTCGACTTCTGGTCCAGTGTGCCGCTGGATGGCTCTGCTTCATATGCAGATATCGCCAAACATACTTCTCTTCCAGAAGAAGTTGTTCAACGTATCTTAGCGCATGCGACAACTCTCCGCATCTTTGCAGAAACAGAGCCTGGAAAGTTGTCATCTCGTATTCAACATACGTCCCGGTCCGCCGCTTTAGCTCGTTCTTCTGGGCTCAGGGCTCTTGTTTCCACAATTCTGGATGACGCGGGACCGCCCATGATGGTCATGAACAAGGCCCTGCAGAAATACACCTGTGGAAAACCTACCTTGACGAAAAATATGAATGAGACGTCGTTTGCTTTGCTCCATAGCGGTGGTCTGTTCGGCAAGTACGCCAACTGCTGGGAGTTCATTGAAAACGATGGCGAGGGAGAGAGAAAGGGATGGCGTCAGAGGAACTTTGTTGAGTTCATGCGCTACATTAAAGAAATTTTCCGCCTCGAGGAAGTCGTGTTGAAATCTTATGATTGGAAAGCAGCAGGCAAGGCGACAGTAGTGGATGTGAGTACCACGTATCTCTCGAGCAGTTCTTTCATCTATTTTCTTGTCTTCGAAAATTACCCCGAATTTAGCTAACTTTAAGGAGGTCGGTGGCTCAGGCGGCCACGATGACGTGGTCCTCGCACAAAACTACCCTGATCTCACCATTACTGTGCAAGACTTGCCCCAGGTGAGACCTACGTTTGAGGCGAATCTGCCCGCAGCCCTCAAATCGCGTGTCTCCTTCATGGAACACAACTTTTTCCATCCGCAACCCGTCCAGGCCGACATCTACATGATCAAAATGATCCTTCACGACTGGCCCGATCAAGAATCAATCCAGATCCTACGGAGCTTAGTGCCCGCCATGAAGCCTGGTGCTCGTGTCATATTTATCGACTACGTCGGCAAGCGCGAGGAAAGAGAAGGTCCACCATTGCCACGTTCGATTCAGCAAATGGGTACCGCGACGGATTTGCGGATGATGGCGTTGTTCAACGCCAAGGAACGCCCGGTTGATGCATGGAAGGACATTTTCCGTGCTGCGGATGAGCGGTTTGAAATTACTCGTGTTGATGCTAACCCACTCGCCTTCTTTGTGGTAATTGAGGCAGTCTGGCGCGAGTGATATGATGTGATTAGCTTGTGCAGGGCATCAGAGGCCAAAGTTTATTTGTGTATTTTGTAGAAAGTGGCGCCTGAACTGGGATCAGGCAGATGTATGATAAAACGTATGACTGTGTATGTGCATATATGTCATTGTATGTGTGAGTATACCTACCCATAATTTAAACAATAAGTCTGCCAGCCTTGAACAGCAGCTATTAGCAAAAAGATTACGTTTACGTCGCATATAACCATATTACTTTGTTTAGTCTCAGTTGTGCTCGCGTTCCCAGTCTATGGTAAACTCTGTTAGCGCTGTTGACTTTGCAAACATTCGATTGAGTTTGCGGGGGCATAGCAAAAGGAGGATTTCAGACTCACCTTTCAGCCACTTCTTCACAAATGCGATTTCTTGAGCCTGAACTTTCTTAATCCGATCAGGTGGGAAGTCTGGTGTAGTTTGGTTGGGGAAGACACCATTCTCATCCCCTAAAAGTGCATTAGAAGAATTTATTAAGCCGCCTATCTCCTCTTGGGCGCAATGGGTAGTACTTACAATGATGCACGGCGTCAGGAATCAAGATAAATGGCTTGTCGACAGTGCTTCTCCGTGGTCTGGCAAAGGTCGCGTGTGGGGTAGCTTCAACCCATGGGTCGGCTTCGCCGTCAACAATTGCGAGACGAGGGTATTCGATGTCAAATGCACCCCATTTGTTAACCCGCGAAACGTCAGCTTCTCCATGGAGGCCATAAGCTTCGCGACACATGATGGTAGTGTATTCGAGGTCGATCATTCGGGAAACCAAAGGTTTAATGAATTTTGGAACACCACTTCCCGTTTGAAGGAAGCCCCATCTAAATAAGCCACATCAGTATAGCTTGTTCCAACACTTTTTTCTGATCGGCGCCATAACCATGCAGGGTAGAATAGAGAATTTAGGAGAAAACCGCCGCCACTTACTCAGTGCAAACCTGATAATACCACAATCTCCATTCCTGGGTTGTGTCATCTCTCTTATAGAACTCTGGATCATGAGTCCCGAAGCAAGTGTCAAGGGTGCTTCCTCGTCTAAGACAAGGGGCAGCATAGGTAGTGTTGACCCATGCGGCATAATTGAGGAGGCGGTTCTTGAGTTTCTTGCCGTGCCGCCCATATTTGCCTGCTTTGATCAAGGATGTTGCAAGCTCCTTTTGCTCCTCTGATACAGGCTGCAGAAGACGATCAGTGGTGATCGTGTCACAATACTTGGCAAAGGTAGGCCGAGAAATATCGGGATCCCAGTTGGTACCCTGCCAGCCGGAAATTCCGAACGCTAGCACGTTTGCAAAATCATCATTGTGAGTCAATTCGCCAAGCCCGAAGAATTCCTTGAGCTGTTGGGTAACCTTAGGGTCTTTTCCGCGAAGAGCGATATTATCAACAAGGTCAACGAATGTCTGTGTTTGTTTAACGCAGTGCTGGGGGGCGTGCTTCCGGGTAGGTTCGTAGTATTGCCAGTAATGCCAAATAGCCTTTGTTACGCCGGAAGATGAGATTGCTCCCCAGAAGATATCTGGATACTCAACGCGAAGGAAAGCCTGATCATCGGCCCGTATAAGCAATTCGATCACGCACAAACCGAGAGGGTGGACTCACAACTTGCGCGCCAGCATATGAACCACCGTACAGGATATATGGGGTGTTTGGTGCTGTCAAATCTTTGTCCTCGAGGCCCTCGAACACGACATTCTTAGCAAAATATGCCGAATCCGCCATCGCCTGCTCGGTTGTCAAGAATCGCAGGTTCTTGGTTGAAAAGTCCTCTGTCGGAATACTTGTTCCATAGTAGCGGTGTTCTAAGACGACGCCAACTCCGTTTGTAGCCTGAGCGAGCTGACCCAAAATTCCCTTTTGTAAGAAGGGCAATCGGCCTAGGAGTTGTCAGTAAGGCGAAGGTCGAAACTGTTTTGTTTGCCTAGCCGCGTTATTTTGTTTACCTTCACCATCTGTCTCCCCGCCATGCAAAACAATCACCGGGCCACCGTCCTTGTAATGGCTGGCATCGAACCAATAGCGCAGCTCAAACGTCCCGTTGGAATGGGGTGCATATCTATCGTCCGTATGGAAGTGGTCAATCGGAATTGAAATTGTATGGGAAGGGTACAAGCTTGTCAGGTCGTCGCCAGCCAAAGCAGATGGAGCCTTCACCTGGTTGAGTTATCAGCGTCCACTCGTGGCTTTTCGTTCTGGTCAGCAAAGGAACGGTGATGCAAACCCTTGGAGTAAACTCGCCGATAGGGATGACAGGTGCGCGGGCATGAACCGCACTCGCCCACAAAAGTAGGCAAGCCCCTATTTTGAACACCATGGCGGCAAACAATATTCTTCAAGAAGACGAAGTAGCTGCCTGGAGACGTGCTTTTCCACCCAACCCCGCAAACCGGGATGGCCAGGGCATCGCACTCTTTAAGTACTGCGGCACAACTAGATACCATGTCGTCCAAGGTAACCCCATCTCGCTAGCGATCCTCCCCTCAACAGACCCCAGGCAAACGGGCGCGCGGCGCATCTTTTACGATGGCTTGGGTATCCACTAAGGTAGCACTGAAGATGATCCTTACCGCCGAATCTGTGTTGTCTGGGGGGTTTCGTTTCTCGCAATCCCTCCAGACACGGGGATGGCTCGACATCCCGTCCACACACAACCGCTGCCATCCGTTGCACTAAGCTGGATTGAGTAGGTTCCAAGTGCTTTCTTTTGGGCGATGGGCTTCGCAAAATTGACGTCGATCACCCGTCCTTTCTGTCATTGCAAATGCACTTTTTCCTTTTCTTTCTTTCTTTCTTTTTTTTCCCCCTCCAAACTAGCTACCATAAAGCGCTGTTGTCATTCGTCGCCCCAAGGCAATTGTTGCACAGCAGAGAGCATTTCCAGAAAACCTCATGTCCGCAAAAATTGATTGGTGGGGCTTGAAGGAGACCTGCACTTGACACCAAGTACTGAGTACGGCCAGTGGAAATGACGGCCAGCGGTCGGCTTGGGAACCGCGAAATCCCTGTCATCATAAGAGAAGCCGAGAACCGTTCTAGAACTCCCAGATAAACGGAGAGCATCTCTTTACCACCCTGCGAAGAAGGGCGGAGCTGGGCTTCACTCCAAACAACGGAGAATAAGCACCAAATGCCCGCTTTACAAGTGCTACCGAACGAATGCCTGGGAAATGAAAAGGAAGGGCTCGATTGCCACGGCTTCGGTTCGCGACTCGCTGGACGGTTGGAGCAACAGGGCCATCCTTGCATGCCGAATGGTCCACTCGCCTGCGTTGGTCTTCGGACCTACAAATTTCCGCTCAAGGCCGTTTGCTCGACTGCGCTGGCTGAACATACGCCAGGTGGCGCTATTCACTATCCATGGGAGAATATCCGCCGCTCGACAAACGCTTCGACGGCAAGTTCGCGATCCCAATTCCCTCAAGGCACAAATCCGAGACCAGCATTAATTGCATCCAGCAAAGATTCCGGCGTAATCATACATACACACCGATTGCTCGGGCTTGCATAAGTTACTACCATTTCTGGGTAAAATTAAGAGGCTCGCCTGGACGAAGCTCCCAGCGATTGTCAACCGAACGAATCAAAGACTTCTCCTCACAGCCCTGAAACTTTTGACTGTTCCACTGTCTGCGTGTTGAATACGGCGTAGATGCAGGCACTTCCATGGATCCCTTCAAAAGTGTTATAAAAGTGAAGACGTATTCGTCTGGCCTGAGCGTGCATGCAGATTGAATTCTCGCGACATAACCCTAATCGTGTTGACCGCCTCTCATGGTGTCTGCGTTTGATTTTTTTTTTTTTTTTCCCACAATCAGCCATTGAATCACGTCATTGAAGACATAATACCGAACTGTTTTAAGTGCTGAGTTCGAATATGAGCGACATCATGCCTGCGCGCCAAGTTTCCTTGCAGAAAATCCCGATGTTCGTTCTTCAAGGCTTCCAGTCGTGCAAACTTGAGTCTGATGCGCAAGGAAAAAAAAGTCTCTTTTTTGAGAACTGTACTGGAAGCGCTCTGTTCAGGACAGGAACTGCTGTAGGCACCGCCATGGCCCCTAAGGTATCTCCTCAGGTGCCATGGACCTTGACATCCATGAGTCCAAAATAACCCTGTCCCCAGCCGCTTATATCCGTGACATATGGAATAGGGAAAGGATGTTTCAGTCGGAATCGCGGGTGCTGAAATGAGAATGACGGCAACATCCCCCAGCTCACAAAGAAGCCACCGCTTGCGTTTGATGCCGTGAAACTTTGAAAGCCCCGACGCCCATATCCACGGCCTAAAACTGCCCAAGGGTATACCCGCCAAATGCAAGTCTCGGTCCAGTGGTAGCAAACAGCGCACATCTGCAGCCGATTAGTACTGTCTGTGACTGTAGACAGGATCCCCACCGTGTGACAGTTTTGTTCAAGGTACTATCCATTCGTTTGCTCCTGATTCCCACTCAATGATTAGTCCAATTGCAGTAGGTAACTATTTGGGAAATATACCCCTTTTCAACGTCAAATGATACCTTTGGAGCGTCAGTATTTGACTGGATTCTCTCTCTCTTTTTTTTTTTTTTTTGACATGCTGAATATCAGGTCTTATATGAGCACGTTTACGGATACTCCGTAGTTAATATAATATTGCCCCAATCCCAGGCCGGTAACGAACCGCGGCGCACAAAACCTAGAAATTTTGATGAGGCCCGAGCCCTGCCCAAGTTACAGGCACATATCGCAACTAAGGACTTCCGGAACGGCTGCCAGTTGGGTAACGATATCTTGCCGGAAACTTCTATCCTGGCTTATACTGCTCAAGGTCGTCATCTAGGAAGGATTGTAGATCGGCAATAGTTAATGAAAAGCTGGGTCATGGATCGCAGCCGTATTCCTTGATTCCAAGTAATGTAGAGATGCCGAATTGGTGGGCATACACATGGCTATCTACACAATCATTGATGTGGCCGTATTGAAGAGAAGTGCTGCCATGAAGATCTTGAACATCTCGACGGTGAAATCGGGAATTCTAAGAGCCTCCAGAAATTCACTCCCATCAAACTGCTCCCCACCGCTACATAGCTGTTAGCTATTTCGCAAACGGCTCCAAGGGCATCGACTATGTTACTGCCTCCCAGATTGAAAACTTGGCAACTATTTTGAACCCCGCATGCATATATTTATAACTCATCCCGATTCCTACACATATACAGAACGGTGAAGATGAGTATCTTGCTGCAGTTTCATCATAAATAGTATCTATAACGCCCTGGAAGTAGCTCAGATGGCTTGTTTGCCATATGTCTGGACCGTACGGATTCAGGCATCTGCATATCGGGACGATGACTCTGCACTTCGTAGGAGCATGCCGGATCTTGAATGGGCCACAAATTTCCACGAATCCTTAGGAGTTGATGTAGCCCTAGTGGTATGATTGTCTTGACGGCTCGTCCACGAGCCATGTCGACTTTAGTCTAGGCCGAAATCCGTGATTGCGTCCAAAATAGAAAACCAATGCAGCGCCCGATGTAATGGAATGGTTTCCGTCTCGGACCGAAACGGGACTCTTCACCATTTGAGGATGTTGACAATGATAAATTCAGAACCCCCCTCCCCTTTTTTCCCTTCTTTCTTTGGCCCCTGTACTATTGTCTCCTTTTTCCACAGATCGATATTCACAGATGGACAGATAACCTCGGTTGAGACATATGAAACAATCTCCGACTTTCAACCTATCACCCACACAGACGCAAAATCCTCTAGGATGACGGAGCGAAAAGGAACTGCAATGCTATATGACGGCCTAACAGTTGTGTTTCTCACCTTTGCCTTCCCAACTTCGAAAATCCACCCGATTCTCGCCCATTCGAAGGTGTCCGCAGAGTATGTCCACTGTTATGCAGGTTTTGATCAATCGACCAAGGCAATAATTTCGAGGGCGTCTGCAAAAGCCAGTATCAGTACCCCTCGAATAAGAATATACATTTGCTCTCAGCTAACTATACATTTGCTCTCAGCTATTCCTCGGTTATAACACTGTTTGTGCAGCAAAGACACGCTCCCTCCAACCATGCGGGTCTCTCAACAGTCGGTCACATCCTCAAATGAGGCGACCCCACTGGAAATCCAATGTACTTGCGACAGCACACAAGTACTCCGTACAGAGTAGGAAATCATCATTCCTTGAGGACCCCCCCCACCATAGCTCTGTGCCAGTGGGATGCGGGCACATCTGATCTGATCGTTGTTCCGTTGAACCGGGTGCATTATATAGTACCGAAGATAGCCTATATCAGCTTCTGCTGAAATTTCACATGTAGTCTTCCAAGATGGCACCCCCAAAAATGGTTGAGAATTGAATTTCTCATCGCTTACAACCTGGAGCTGAAGTTGACAAGCGAAAGAATGAAGCGGAGAGAGAGCAGCCAGGCTTGCTTCTCAAGCATCCAATCATTATCGTCCAAGCGAGCCAAGCATGAGCAAGAATTACTCATTGTGCATAAGTGGAGCCGCTAGTGGTTTTCAACTGGCTGAGGCTTGTCGATCCTGATTACCCGCATGTTACAGTTTGGCAACGGTTACGTATTGTAATTTCGGCACCAACATACAGCGGACCTTGACTACTCCTCTCTCAGCCGTGGGAATAAGCAGCGAACTTAACAAACCATGCTCGACTGTGTATATTTTTGATAACAGGAAGACAGAGTGAGGTAACAGAAGCGTTAACTACTCATGGTTACTCATTTATACAAATTGTTAGCACCAGATGCTAACCCTTTTTCATCCTCACCAAGCACAACTTTTGTACAACATGGGTATCTCATCTGAAGAGTAGACAATATAGATATAAATAATGAATGTAGATTCAATTGGCAACGAGTGTAAAGCTAGGTTTGAAATTGAATCGGAATGTGAGGGACTTAAGTCCAAGACAACCCAGGCAGTCAACTATTTGAGAAGGCAAGTCAACCTATCCCTATATCCTCAATCCGATATGCATCTGTTATTTTACACTGCCGGAACACATCTCACCAAAGGAGGCATGAAGACAACATCTCCAAGTGCTAATAGGTTTGTGATATTATACCATCTTGTGTTTACAACCTGTTTCCCCCTATGCTGTCTTTGGGCGATGCATCACATCATCCTTCACAGCATTGTTCAGGGGAGCGACGTATACAAGTGGGCGTATCTCAATTTTGTGAAGCAAGTTCTCCAGAAAGGTGAATAAAAAGGAAGAGCACCGTCTGGAGAATTCTAAAAATATGGAGCCGACATCATCTGACCCCTCCGTCACACAATTGAAGATTATCATATTAAGGTTTTAAAACATGCTAATAGCACCGTCACCGACAGAGCAGGAGTCTTAGCCTAGTCCACTACTCCCTCCTGACCTCTTCCCGAGCATTTCCCTCAACGCTGTGGCTTCACCTTCCCACTTCGCAACTTGCACTTTCAATTCATCCCGTTCCTTCGCAACCTGTTCAAGCGCCTGTTCCAACTGCGAAATACGATCATGCTGTCTCTGTCGAAATCGCCTGGCAGCAAGGGTGTTACGGCGGCGTCGATCCGCCGCAGCATCAGCGGGGTCTGATGAATCGAATCGTGGCTTCTTTCGACGCGAGCTGCTTGTTCGCGAAACACAATCAGGTGGGCTCTGTGTAGTTGACGACGTCGACGACCCCGAATTATGCTGAGGTGTATCAGAAGAAACACTGAGCGCTGCAGTTTGAACAGGGAGTTCAGTTGATAAAGACTGGTGAGCCTTAACCTGTTGAGGCTGACATGAAAGGCTAAGCAAAGAGAGCGAGTAATCATAACTTGTTGAAGAAGGGACAGGCCCGTTGTTGGGAAAATAGCCTGTCAAAACAATCAGAAGAGGGAATCTTTAACATGGAGCCGCGTTGAAATGTTGCAAGCTTACCATTCTGAAAATCAACTGCAAACTTCGGATTAAAATTGTGATAACTTTCTCCGCTTTTTATTAAACCGTTCGCATCCGCAACAGCTGCTGGGTGTTTTAAGGCGCTGGATCTATCAACGCTTGGTCCAGAAACTTCGGCATTTGGCATAAACTGCCCACCAAGGCTTCCCCCGCTATCGACATTCGGAAACTGTGCCCAAGCGGGCATAGGCGTAACACAATGCTCTGCGGGCCCATCAGCCAATGCGGGTGCAGAACGCAGCTCTCCCGGACCTCGATTCGGTCCTCCACCAGCAGTAATCGGAACATTCGCCAGATCTTGATAAAAATTATGCCCGAAATCCTCCGAATCCAAAATTAAATCACCTTGAAATCCTCCTCCAAGCGCACCTATCGCCCCATCCAATCCCCCATACGATAAGTGGTTGTCACCATGGTGGTTTGAGAACGCTGAATCGTTCAACCGCCCTGAGGAACAGGAAGGCGAGTTGGCTCGGAACGACAGTGGGATCCATTGTGGCTGACCAGGCTGAATAGTTGGGGTAGGAAAAAAGAAGCCCTCGAGGGCGTGCTGTGAAGGTCGCCTTTAGGAAGCGTGTCAAAAGGAAGCTTGAAAGGGAAGGGCGCAATCGCCTCCTCTTTATACAATTTGCCCTGGGCTTGCGGGGTGGAGCGGAAAGTTAGATCGTTCTGGTAACCCACGTACGGTTTCGTAAGGAACAGTAAAAATACAAGCCTCTGAAACAAGTCACGGCTGTACTTCCGTGCTCCGCACGGTGCTATCAAGCTTCCGGGCTTTCATCGGATTGAGAACTGTTTGATTGGAACTGCTGGGATCGTTGTTGCTGATGCAATGGGAAAGGGATCGTCTCAATTGAGCTTTGAACTACAACCAACACCGCAATGCCTATAGAGACAATAAAAAGTAATGAATAATATACATGCTTGAGATACTGAGTGAACAACATCCAGATCCGCATACTACCTCCTTCTGCTTGCACCAGGAGCATACCGGAGATTCGCTCTGGCAGTAGTGCCCTGCTTATGCACCTGGCTTCTCTTCTCCCACACTGAACTCCTACCTTCCGCAGCAGCCACAACCTCGTTCGCGACTCTCATGGCAAACTGCGTATCCCGTCTCTTCTCAGACGCATCAAGAATCCATTTGATAGCCGTTCGACGCCTCTGGCGAAGCGATAGTGGCTGAGGAATGGGCAGCGACATACCACCACCAGCAGCACCTTTTAATTGGCGGATTTTAATGAGTGGAGCAACAGAGTCGATGACTTGGGTGAGATAAAGGACAGGATTTAAAGGTAGCTGAGGGGTTGGTGGGCCTGGGAGGAGAGGGCGGGTGGGATTGACGGCTGGCGGAGGTGAGGTCCGGAGATGATCTAAGATCATATTCATATGCTACATTGACAAAAATATGTTCAGTCATTGTCTGGAACAGCCACTCCGCAATCATCAGACAGGGTGGAGAGAAATGATACACGCAAGATGAAGAACAGACCTTCTGGGCAAGACTCAATTTCCCATCCTTCATAAGCATCTTTGTAAACTGGTCCACCAGAGGCTCATATCGCCGTTTTAAATTTTCGGATCTAGGCAAGTCTGTCGATGGCGGGTCAAATTTATATCCTTTCTTTTCAAGCGTTGCAATCTCCCCAGCTGCAGCAATCATCTCAGCCACAGCAGCAGCGGATGGTTCCACTACTGAATTCTGCATATCTTGTTGTCTCTGTCGAGTGTAGGTTGAGAAAGAGCGAGATCCGCTGTTATTTTTGGCCGCAATTTCGTCTCGGAGAACTTTAGGCATATTCTTCAAGGCGTCTTTGTCACGTTTTAGGATCTAGCTCAATGGCAATGGGACGTAAGCTGAAGATTCGATGGGCAAGAAGCCAAAAGGACAGCACATGCTCATAGGAACAAAGCCAGGCGGTACTCACTTCTTCCACCGGCGTTCCCTGCTCTAATTCCGGTCCCCCAACATCACCGCATCTCTTGTTCAATATCTTCGCCGTCTGCGCCGCCTCTTCACTGACATGAGGTAGCTGATCCTGGTTTGGGCCCCGTGCCTCATCGGCACCATCCTTCCCGCTGTCACTCGACGTCGAATTCATGCGTCTTTGATATGATGTTGCCTGTGTAGTAGATATTAATCCGGCAAACGGAGACGTGCACTTGGTTCCACCGCAGCCTCCAATCACACCATTCCGAGCTCGAGCAGAGCCAGATATCGGGTAGGACGAAGCATGGCGAATTGCCGCCAGCAATTTAATTCGAGGCGGCATTCCTTTTTCTTTTTCTTTTTTTGACTTCGTGATCTGGGGCTTCGGTGTTCGCGAATTCGAGCTGAATCAAAATTCCGACGTTGGGCTATTCAGATATCATCGACGGCCCATTGGCGACGTCCAAGTCAAAACTCCAACAAAAGAAAGTTGGGATATAGTTGTAGAAGAGTCCAGATTTCCGTAACGACAGGTGAGAAAGGCCTGTTCTTTCACCCCCAGACAGCAAGAAGTGAAATGTGCAGCGCCTCTTTGGAACTCTACCATCAAAAGTTCAAATTTATCACGTGATATTAGCTCGACCCACGATTTTTGCATGTCCAAGTAACTAGTTAATGCACACCCGGCTAAGCCTATTTAATCTGTACACGACGGCTTTGTACTCAGGCTACTCTGTGGAGTCCTCCATAACACTTTAGAAAGACTCTACTCCGTATATGGAGTAGTTATCATAATACCCTGGGAATTGACTATCAACCCATCATTCATCGTGCCAGCTACGCGCAGCCACAAGCTGTATTTGAATTTTTCCAATCTTTCTTTCTTGAAACTCCTTTCCCATGACGCGCCTCTTCACCAGATTTTCAACGTGGTACAAACCCAGAACCATAACCGTAGCAAAACTTTCGACACTATCGCGGAGCCTCCGCTGACTTGGTTCGCTATGGCCCCAGAGGGAAGCTTGAAAATTGCAAAGTTTCTATTAAAACTGGCAATCCTCTCAAGACGTATATTATGATTCCTCCTGATGTCGGTCATGCCCTCCAAGCCCGCAACGGCTTTGGCCATACCTCCCTTGTGTAGACTAGCAACACTGTACCTTTATGGAAAACTGCACACAATAGCTCTTGATGGCACTGCGGATGGTTTCATGCCTATCAGTTGATATTGTATACAATATGCTAATTCTAATCAGTTCATTTTGCTGAGTTGGCAAGCACATCTATCCGGTCCAGATCTTTATCACTCACTCATCCATCTGAGTAACATATAATGTCTCCATTTTCTTGATTGTTTGACCGCTCAGCGGCTGTGAACAGTCGCCTGAAAGGGGGGGAGGAAGGGTAATGCGGCCCTCCTGGTATGTTGTTGTCTGCTCCTGGAGAAATATGGATATGAAAGCCCGTATCTTTGTTAAGTTGGCCTCAAGTGCTTTAGCCCCCCTTTAAAAAGTTATAGTCAGCTTTGCATGCTAAATCATACACTTCAATATGATTGAACAAAATTATCTCTTTTTTCCTTTGATCAATAGCGTCGCTTCCACAGCACATCTGTCTTTCGCAAATCCGGTCGCGATTGGCTTAGGTGCTAATTGAGGGTGGGTTGGGTGAGATCATCTCTCATTCATATTTTTCTAAACATACTTGGTGGTGTATTTCATACCTATCCGGGTTATCACACATAGTTTTTTGGGGGAGAGAACAGCAGAGTTAGGGTTGTCGGAATTCAACCTGCTTCACTATGACAAAGAAGATGTACTCATTGAGTCATTCTGCTTCTTTTTCACTTTCTCACTCTTTCTGAGGGGATTTGAAAGGTGCCAACAATTGACATGACTTCTGCATGTGGTGGCTCCATAAAAATGAGTCCTTGTCATCACGCTCTGTGATTATCTGACTGATATCAACAAAACTACTGCATATTGAGCTGTCGTGATTAACTAGTTAACATCAATGGAATAAGATTTATGATACCAAATGCTATTCACACAGAAATGCATATTTTATGTATGGTGGATGATGTGCATTGTTATTATAATAATTAAAAAAGAGAAAAAAGGAAACCTGAAATTCTGTCCTGGCTATAGGTAGCAGTTACACCAAACCTTTTCACTATTTTTATCCCAATCTTAACCTAACTACTAAGAACTTCTTTTCCACACCCACAGGGCAAAAGAAATGAAATACCGAGAAAATCAGAAAACCTCACCGTCCAAGGAAATAATGAAGCAAACGAAGGGTATCCAGGTCAGGATTTAGTGTTATGATAACGAAAAAATGATACTAAAATCTCTGTCGTGGTGACAGGACGCCCCTAGGGCTATGAGAAGGAGTATTTATAAAAAGTTTAAGCTGGGGAAGCAAACGTCTTGAACCAAGATGGAATATCCTTGGCGTCGTCCGGATAGACGTAGAAGGCAAGGGCAATAATCACGTACCTATTGTAGATAGTTAGCTCACAAGGTTTCCTCTAAAGTTCAATGCGAGAGATGAAGAAGATAGCAAAACCGGGAGGAATATCATTGGGAAGGAGAGGCGTTGATCTTACATTCCGAGACACAAACCCCCTTCAAGATAGTTTGACTTTCCATCCTGGATGAGCAAGGTGACCACCAATCCGGATACGAAGAATGCAACCGTCTCGAATGTCTGGAAGTGGAGTGTCATATCGCGATTGAAGATCCAACCCAGGATAACCAAGAAAGGTGTAACGAAGAGCGCGATTTGAAGACTGCTGCCAATGGCAACTCCAATTGCAAGATCCATCTTGTTTTTGTAAGCCACCACAATGGCAGTAACGTGCTCAGCAGCATTGCCCACAATTGGGATGAGAATGAGACCGATAAATGTCCTACTAATGTTTGCAGACTCAACAATATTATCGATAGTACCAACGAGGAACTCCGCACAAATTGCAACGGCCACTGTGACCACTAGTAGAAGAACTCCAGCGGCCCATGGGTTGAGAATTTGTGGATTGCCGTTCGTCTCCTCCACTTGGTGATCCTGAGATTCCAGGGCGGCTCCGGATCGGCTTTCAAAGAGATCCGAATGGGATTTTAGCTGGAAGTACAAGTACATAATGTACACAATGAGTAAGATTATCGCCGTTCCATGCGACAAAATCAAGATGTTGCCCAGAGGATCAGATTTGGATCCAGCTAGAGCGGCGTAAAGTGTCGCGGGGATAATCAACGACGCCGAAGCTACTGCCATCAGAGAAGACATTGTTGAAGCGACGGTTGAGTTAAATGTCTGCTCATGGTGCTTGATACCTCCAATGAAAAAGCAGCATCCCAAGACTAAAAGGATGTTGGATAGAATGCTGCCGAGCATGCTAGCTTGCACGATTCTGATTTCGTTCTTTTGAAGCGCAATAATACTGACCTAGTTTGGGCAAGGAGGTCAGTCAACGATGCGAAAACCCCGAAAGGAATTTCTGAGAGCACGAAATGGACACGTACAATAAGCTCCACTGCATTGCCGAAAGTCGCATTCAGAAGTCCACCAAGGGTTTCACCAAGAGTTGCGGCCAACTCCTCCGTCGCAAAGCTCAGCAGCGATGCAAGAGGAATGATGGCGAAAAAGTTAAGAATAAAGGTAGCAGTAGGATTCCATCCAGCCGCCCCTGAAGCCATACCCAGAGGCACTAAAACCAACAAGATATTCACATAGTTGCTAACCAAGGTAGCGTAACTCAGATAAAATGCCTCAGATGGCAGACGCACCCAGACCCGACGGTCACTTCGATACCACATTAGTTTATTGAAAACCGACGGCGGGGGGCTTGAATCGTGACCGTTAAGCAGGCCAGTGTGCTCGTTAGGGCCGATCGACCCGTTACCGGGCGCCGGATCAGGTTCGTGGTAAGTCGGCATCAGAAATAGAGCGCTCCAGAACGTAGAGGAAAAGAAGGAGCCGTGACGGCGAAATTGCGATTGGAAATTAGCCCTAGCTAACGGCCAATAACGTCAGGTAGGAGCAGGTGAGTTGACTTTGAACAGCGTATCCGTTTCGGATTGCGCCTCTGTTATCCCTCCAAAGAGAGGAATTAAAAGGAAAAAAAGAAGAAAAAAGAAAAGAAAAAACACTCGTCAATTATTGTCCTTCGTCTTGTGAATCTAATAACCAAGGAAAATGAAAGGAATGGCAAGGTTGATGTTAGAATTGTTCCGTGACTCCAGCACGGAAGACGACAGCCAAAGCCCCTGATATGACGTAGCTAACTAATTTGATGGTGATGAAACGGGATTGATTTAAAGAGAAATCGAGTCCATGCCCATAGCAGGTGGGGAGACAACGGTCACTGATAGGAAAGAAGATGACAGTTTGGACATACCCATGATTTGGGCTAGATGATTGATTTGCAAAAAAAAAGGGAGCTGAAGTGTGTGGACGCGGTCGTTGGTGGTTGGTGGTTGAGTCCGAACCAGATAAGTTGGCTAGTTAGTGGCTCTTTGTTTCTCCGCGCTCGAAAAGTGCCGTCTTCGGGATCAAGCTTCAAGCTGGACCTCGCTACTTGGCCGAGCTCCTGGTTCAAGCCAATTTCAAGTGCAAGCAGGGACGTCGGGCTGACTGCCTCTAGAGTGGGTCGGGAGAACGGGCGAGCGCTTCTTGAGTACAAGCTCATCAACCATTATTAACTAAGTTCCCATTATCCAGGATTTGTGTTCCAACTCACCAAGCCGGTTCTGATTGAGAAGCGGGGGGTTGCAATGACTAATTTGCTCCGGATGCGACCGTGGGTGAGGAGGGTGGAAGGGGTCAAAGACATCCATCGAGAGCGACCGCGCTGCCAGGGAGCATAGAGCAGCACCGCCATGATACATATGTAAGTGCTGCCCGGCCACAAGCGCGAGAACGTGGCTTGAGTGCGCTGGCCTGCACAGCCCCAATTCGCCCGCCGCGGAGCCGCCGCTGATTGGAGCCACCCAAGCCCCCTTGCTGAGCTGCTTCTGAGATCGCCAGGATCCGCGTTGACCGCCCAACCAGAGGCGCAATCGATGAGCGACTGGCTGCGCCGTATCTCCGGGAAAAATGAATAGATCTGGAATGCCTGCGAAATTTTTGGAGGAGCTGTCAGTATCACCACGGCCATCGTCCGGAATATACACATACCTATGGAGTACTCTGTCTCAAGTGCATCTAGTAGTAGCGACACAGGATACTTCTCCGTACTCCGTATGGATACGAAGCTCGGGCGAGGAGTTTAAAGCCACCGGCTTCATCAAACCCTCAAAAGTCAAGCCGTAGCCCGCGGCCGCCTCCCAGAAGGGCTCAGCCACAACCAGCGTGTCAGGTGCACTGCAACCATGTCGTTGATCTCGTCCAAGACTGTTGGAAACGATTGGAACGCCTGGAAGCACGAAGGGCGGAGAATATCAAAGTCGCAAGCTGCAGTGTACTCCGTGGACTTGCCTCGATGAACTGTTCTCGTCTCTCCAACCCCATGAGGCACTCCATGCCAAGCCCAAGGGCCCCTCTATCCTCCTCATCTTTAACGAGTTAGTTGGTACATCATTATCTATGGAGTACCTTCTCGCCAACACAACTCCTTCAATGCCACGCGCGGAAACAACTTTGGGCAAACGCCCGATCACTAGGTGACAATTTACCGATGCAAGGATCCCTAGATGACCCAGAACAAAGAATTACGAGTTTTGGAAATATTGCCTCAAACCTGGCTTGAAGAGAATCTGATTCCATAAGACTACTCTGCACCTCTTCCACTACCTTTACTCTGTGAGACTCTGCCTGCACGGACACGAAACCCTGGTGATCTTCCTCCAGAATGAGGATGGCCCGGATAATGCTCAAATTTAACAATAAGACACAAGGATTTGGGATGGCTACCGCTTTGGCTACAGGATGGTCAATGTTTACAAGCTTTGGTGGCTGATGTCCCTTGTAAAGATAAATAGAATACGGAGTAAACATGGTTTCAAGTCGGCACCAAGGGGGGGGAACTTGTCTACCTACCCAGGACATTCGGTAACAGCACCAATTGGAGAAAGCAATTTCCAGAGGCTTAAGGTGGACCTGGAACTCAGAAGGGTGAGACGATATTCTGCTTTCCTAGCCAGACACCACGGAAAAGCTCCGTACAATCCCAACCACCTTATCGTCCCCTTAGGGCGCACTTTGTAAAGATCACACACTTCTACCACAATTGGTAGACTGTTGTCGAGCCTACCGAGCCATAGAAGCAGTACATTCACATGCCGCACTCATCCTCACGCATTTGGATTCAGATCGACGTAGAATATCGTGTAGCAATATATACAATATATACATGACGTACAGTAATCAGGTTATCTCGTCATACATAAATCAATAGAAGGAAAACCATATTGCCATAAGAAGGGAAGGAAAGGAAAAGTCACGAAAAAGCCACCATATAAAAGCCCGAAATATAAAATATGTGGTAATTGAGTGACCACGTTAAATATTGTCCCAGGTGTTTTAATAGATGCTCCCTAAATTTATAAGATAAATATATGTTCTTATTTGCACCTGGAGAAAAAAGTGGTGCGACTTAATACTTTGGTCCTCCGCCGAGGCCTAAAATCATGTCAGTCAGGGACAACATATGTGGGTATCTTCCGAATTCCCACATGTGACGGTTGCACTTACAAGCTGCATATGCGAGGTACCACGTTCGACTAGCACCGCCATCAATCCAACCCATATTGAAATTTGGCTGGGTGAAAAATTTCCAAGAGGCTTCTGCGTCGATAATTGCCAGGTTGGCATAAAGAACTCCCCTCCACCCACCTTCCACGGTATCAGCAGGCTTGGTTGCATTGGGAGCAAACATTGCATTCCATTCTTCTCTCACAAACTCACTCCGCCGAGTATAGGCCGAAGCGGGGAGGAGAGGAAGCATATGTATGCTAAGGAAATATACAGTTAGCATGTAGTTGCGGTTTGGAGTTAAAATGGAGTACATGCTCACCCTTGAATATACTCCAAGTTCGCTCCAAAGTATGTGGCATGGTCGCATTTATTTTCAAACAGCTTAAGACTATTAGTTAATTATTGCAAGGATTTCCTCAGGCAAAGAAGTGACTCACAATCCCAGTGACTTTATTATCAATGAATTCCTTTGGCTGATTAACATTGCTTCTGCGCATCAAAAAGTAGCTGTCGAGTGACCTGTAGAGGATTCCCAGCATCAAATTTCCTCGAGCCTCCATGCTAGCATCTCCACTAGTTTTACCCCACATCTTCAGAGCGTACGCAAACATGGTGTCTTCAGAGGTAGATTCTTGGTCCTTGCCATCGATCGAGGCAAACAGTCCCTTGGCCCATGAATGCCCATTGAACCAGTCGAAGCCTCGTGAAAACGGGAAAAGTTCGTCAGAAACGGAGTTTGATGCATCGCGGACCAACATATTAACCCAGACTTTATTGGTATCGAGCCATGACCGATCGAGGTGTCCAATTATCGCAGCTGTCAAAATGAAATACCCGTAGTGGAAATGGTGATCGTTGTAAAGAGTGTTTCCAAAATCGAGGTATATATCCCCAGTTTGATATGTGCCAGAAGAAACCGCACCTTTCCACACAGTGTCATAGACAAGTGGATGTTTCTGCTTGTTTTCCACAAATCTCGCAAATGATTTTTTCAAAGACTCTAGAGCTCGTGACGCGAGGCCGGCGTCCTGTAGCAATTCCTGTGCAGTGTATACTGCGCCAGCAAATTTCCCCAAAGCTTTCCCACTAAAGTACATACTGTCCAGATTTGTCTGGGACTCCATGTCTTGGGACAACTCGGAAAGAGCGACGGCCTTTATCTGCTCTTTTGCGCCTGCTGACAGCGAAGGCTTTCCTGGCATTCCTGGCTTCCAGGGTTCGAATCCTATATCAACAGGCAGATTTGGTTCGATCATGGTCCACGAGTCACCCACGCAGGCTGTAGCTTGGCCCTTAGTGGTCGTTTGCAGTTTCAAATCGGTTTTGCGTCTCTTTGAAGAATCGTCGAATGCTTCAACATGGTGAGGCAGCGCAAACATAAGCAATGGCGTATTGTCCGCATTTTTTCCAGCCTTGGTCCAAGAAAACTGGTAAGTTCCCTGATTCCCTGTGACTGAACCCGCAATATTCGCAGCAGTCGGGTAAACACCAGCGGATCCATCGTAAATGCTGTCACCGTTCCCAGGGTCCTTAGCAACTTGGATGAAGCCATTAAAACCCTTGGAACCTCGAATAGTGTTGTTGGACACAAGAACCAACTTGGGATCCGCTCCATTTTCCGGAGTGACATACAGGAGCCAGTTTGCGCCATCCTGGAGGGAGGCCTTGTACTTGAAGATACCATCCTTGGGGCTGCCGGCCGCATCTACCTGCTTAAACGACACCTGTGACTGGATTACGGGCTGTAAGTTGTCGTATAGACCCGTTACAAATCCCATGCCCTGGACCAGTGGAAAGGATGCGCTCGCGTCCGAATCCTTCTGAGGTCTTAGAATGACATTTGCAGAGAAAGCTTGGGGGTTTGAAAGGCTTAGAGTAGTAGAGTTCTTAAGTTCCTCAGCCGACAAAATGATCGACTGAATCCCGACAGGATTGGCGTAGAACCTGACTGGGTTGCCAGGAATAACGTCACTTCGTTCACCGAACACCGTTTGGCTCGCATCACTATGGGAAATGGCCAAGCCAAAGCTCCCCGTAGGGTTTGCACCCTTGGACCATCCGACTGAGTACGGCTGGATGAACGAGTAGCCGCTCTGATTGCCTAGAAAGAAATTGGCGTAGAACTTGTTGGTGGATATCGGCCCGGGGGCATCCGTCTATATGTCCTAGGTTAGCATCATTCAGACCCAATGAAAGTGAGAAACTGACAATGTGATCCTTGCGGACAGGATGACCATCCCTTTTTGGGATATTGGCGGGTATCTGGTCTTTGGAAACAGGGAGAAACACATTCTGCGAAGCCATGCTTGGCTGGGATGTGGGCGAGGTGGAAGAACCTATTCCAGTTCCAGTTGGTGAGGTTGGGCGTGTCGGGCCTGTTGGTCCTAACGTCGTGGTCAGGGTACGATCCGAGGATGTGTTGAAATAGCTGATCGCGGCTTGAATGCGGCTTGGAACACGGGGAGTTGGGTTTTCTGGTTTTGGTGGTTGCCGGCGGGGTGATGAGAAGCCAAGCTGAGCCTGAGCTGGTCGAGCCCAGTTTTGGGTTGTTGGCGTTGGAGATATATCCCCGACCGGCGATCTTTGTAAGGCGGAAGGCTGTCATTGCGGTCAACAACTGCTTTTCTAGAAACACGGAATGGAATCAATGTGGCGTAATGTCTTACTGCGGAAGTTTCCGTCGATGTCTCCAGCAGGGAAACTGCCCGGTTGGCAATTGGTGGCACACGAAATAAGGCTGTCAACGGTACGTCGCCGACCCGAGTGGCCGGATCCAGTGACAAGGGGCGGGATTCTGCACTAAGGAGTATCCCTAAAAATATCAGCACGGCTTGGGAGAGCCACATCTTTGTAAGCTGGACTATGTTTCACACAGCCCCGCGAAGGCCCGCACGCCAGAAAGCGCCAGAAGAGGAAGAAGAGAACGAAGCGCCGCCAGACAGAATTGCCGAAATCAGATGCAATAGCAGCAAAGGGGGAGGTGCACTTGCCCTTCGCGGGCCAAACGAGACTGCGGGCGCCTGCTTTATAAGGGCTGCAGAGGGTGCGAGTCCACGTATACACACACCCCCCCACCACCACGGCGCGCAGTGGGGCTGCGCTGACGGTGGCAGCAGACACCAGGCCACGAGGCGTAGGAGAAACCATACTTCCAACCCCTGGGCTCCATGCTGTGGGGGATGGCGGACGGGGACGCGGAAGGAGTGTAGAACCAAGCAACTTGGAAATCTGATACAGAAGGAAACCGGCAAGAGAGGAGCAAGAGCGTTGTGCTGGAAGCACAAACGGTTCAGATGAACATGGCCAGCTCCGTCACACATGACAGAGAACAATTGAGATTCAAAAATACTTACCTCTTTGGGAAATATTCGATGAGCTATTGGCCTTGTGATGAACTCGAAACAGTAGCACTGTTGTTTGCAGTTGCGAAGATCTGCATCCCAGGTGCCGGCCTGCTCAATTTATATGTTTTCTGGGTATTCGAAGGAGTGCTGCGAGATAAAGACCAGGAATCCTGCGTGGTGTTGCCACATGGGGAAAACGCCGCGCGAGAAAGCAATCATAAAGCCTTACAAGTTACTGGCACAGGATGTCACTGCTGCCAGTCTGGTGATGGGTGCCCCTCGTCTAGCATCGATGGAAATGGGCGCAGAAGCTGGATTTCCGGTCCCGGCTGACGCTCGCATCCACTTTTAGCTGGGCGGCGGCTCCACCTTCGTGGGCCTGAGATCATCCTGAACGCTCTCCGTTCATCCTCGAGAAAAGGAAAATGAGGGTTGTTGGAAAAGTCCAACAACTCAACGGACAAACTCGAGATCGAGTCAGCCATCGGTTGATGCCAAGTCGACACGCGGAAGCAGTTAAAGGTCCTGAGGATTGTGAGGTGATCTGCCCCGTTCTACGGAGTACGATAGTACCGGCTCCCGGCGCCCAGACCTGGCGTCCCACGTGATTCCCTCAGACGGGTCCCTGGGCTTGGAGCGAAATGAAAACCAGCTCATCCCACCCGCAGCCCGTTCTCTTCCATCGAGTAGTCCGTACAGGTGAAAGCAACGAATCATCTGATATAATCATGTTCAGCCTTGACCTTCCATCAAGCCGAGCCTGAAGGTGGTTGGCCTGAAATACTACGGCACCCCGGCCACGTCGCGCGTGTAGAAGGCCCAAAAAGGTCGCTCCTCGCATCATCCGCGCCCATCATCCTTAATCGCCCATCCAGATCGCAATCTCACGCTAAAACGATCGACACATTCCCCATAGCCTCCCGAATGATCGTGCCCAAAACAAGCAGTCACTTTTACCTTGCATATAAAGTATACCAATGCTCCGTAATAGCTATTTACACATGAGGCCTTTGTATCGGCTTGATAACGCCTTGTTTCACCATCAAGCGGGGCTTAGTGCTGTCCTGGAAGACTTCCTTGGTAGTCCATTCTGGACCTATGGGTACACGAAGAGATCGTTCGTATTGTTGCCTGGACTCGAACGGATGGGGTAGCTGAGAAGCAAGATACTTGGTGTTCTTTGGAGAATCAGTACCAAAAAAAACCCAGAAGATAAGAAAAGGAAAACCGGGCACACACCTTTCTCACCCGCTTTTCGTTGATAATCACTCGATCCAACTTTGCGTCTTTTCTGTTAGCAGGTTTTATCCCCTCGACGGTTTTAAAACTCCGCTGGGCCTTAGCCTCTCTCTTCTCCTTTTTCGTGAGGCCAGAGCCTGTCCAACTGCCCCATCCAGGCAGAGTGTCTTCAACGATCTTATCCCCTTCATCCTCAATAGTCTCAAGCTTTTCCTTGGTAAAGGCCTCCAGGACTTCGTCGCCGGCAAATGCTCTCTTGACGAGCTCTTCGTTCTGAAGTAAGATCGGGACGCGTGACTCTTCGTCATCGGAAACGTCGTCCTCGTGTCCACCGGGCTTCTGGCGTTGTTGGGTGGCAGCCTTTTCTTTGAGAGAACCATTCTGTTTTGATTCCACTTCCTGTTTGGCTGCGCCAGTGTTTTCAATAAGGGTAATATCCATGCTACCATCCACCGCTCCTTTCTTCTTCCGTGACCGTTTTGTGCCTTCTGATAGCCATGGATTTATGTCCGTGTCTGCATCATTAGGCTTAGATTTGGTCTGTGCGCGCTGCTTGTTGCGGAGCGAAGCCGCTTGCGCCCGTTGTTTGGTTTTCCCGTTTGTTTTACCATCCACACGAATGTCAATGTCATCATCAGCCTCAGGTAGATTTTCATCGTCAGAGGTAGGCTCTTCAAACTCTTGTCGTTTCGCCACGGGCAATTCTTTGTTGGAGGTGCCTTGATCACTCTTGCCGAAACGCCGCCGGCCTCCATCATCGTCTTCTATTTCTGATGCTGACTCTTCCCCAGCGAACTGACGATTGAGTTTCTTGATTTCGGCGTCGTTGGCAGCCTTTCGAGCAGCCTCGGCGTTTCGCATAAACTTCATGGAAAGTAACTTAGCATGCGGCCCTGTGAGTTCTTCCTCTGCAGCCCCATCACCCTCCAATTTCTCCAGTTTTCGCTGCAGCCTTCGGACCTCATCTTCCGACTCAGCTTCATTGTCAAAAGGATCGATATCATCTTCTTCCGACTCCGAACCCGATGAGCCCGTGTAACCTTCCTCCTGAACTCGCTTCCCCTCTATTCTCCTCTGTAGCTCTTCTCTTCTGCGAGCTTGCTCAGCTATGCCAGCACGTGCATCCTCATCCCAGGCTCCGCGTCCCGTTTGCTTCACACTCTTTGCCCATTTACTCTCACGGTGCTTAGCGCCCATTCTCATCTCTGCTCTCAACCGATCAGCTCGCTCCCGATCCTCTTCTTCCATATCTACTCCGGCCGCGGCTAGAGCATCCCTTTCACGTTGTTCCATTCTCTCTCGCTCCTTTCGATGAACACGCCGATAAGATTTACTCTTGATCTTTTTAATTCGCTTTGCGCGTACTTCTTCTCGGAAAAGCAATTCACGCGCTCTCCGAAGCTCGTTGCGACGGGCTTGCAGCTCTTCAATGGAGAGCTTATTCGTTTGTAACTTTTCGAACTCTTGGATACGATCCTCCGCATCCTTGCCATTCGAACTTGCTAGGCCGCTTTCAACCAGGATATTTTGGATTGTAGTTTCGAGGTCAGTCCTCGGTTTTGAATCCGTCACCTTGGCATTTTGTATGGATGCGGTCTCTGGAAGCGGGAACGACAGATGTTCCGCCCGTCGATTTGCCTTGACGGTGTCAATCCACCTGTCTAATGTTTCTTTGCTCTTTTGGTAAGCAGCAGTCCGATCGAGGCGGTCTTGTTCGCGTTTAGAAAGAGGGACATCAAGTTTCCCCGGAATCCCACCGCTTTTGCTCTTCTTTTCAGCAGTCCTAACATGAAGGTGCTTTAAGGAGCCTTTCATACGAGAGTCGGAGATCGTAGGCAGCAAATCGGCAACAGTAAGCTTTCGACTTGATATCAAGCCAAACTCTGTCGGTTCACTGCCTTGGAGGGTAATGGAAGTGCTTTGACCGGCTTTCTTTTCGTCTGAATCTTCCGATTTGAGTGCATTAACAAATCGTTGAAGCTTCGACAGGCCGCGCGTATCAGTAGCACCGTCATCTTCGGATAGAGATAAATCAGATTCATCGTCCTCTTCACCGTCGCTTTCCGTGCCTGTAGAAGATTCATCGTCACTCTCTGCGTCCTCCTTGCCATTTTCTTTCCGCGCTTTTGCGGCAGATTTCCGTTTCTCTTCTTCTGACTCCTCCGCGTTCATATCCCATGCAGCGGCCAGATCCACCGCGTCATCCCCAAGATCATCTTCCAGTTCATCTTCCAGTTCATCTTCGGAGGGACTCTCTTTGCCATCCCGCTCGCCCTCAGATAGGTCGACACTCTGATTTTTGCGTCCGGGCTTGGATGGTGCTCTTGAGCCTTTCCTTGTCGAGCTGGCACGAAAAGTAAAGCCTTCGAACCTCTCTTCGTCGCTCGACCCAAAAGCCTCATCACTGGCAATCTCACTATCATTTTCGCTATCCACTTGGCCTATCCTCCACTCGTTGCCCTCGCTGTCGCTTCCACCGTCCTCGCTAAGGTCCGACTCCTCTGTTTTTCTTCTCTTAGATGGAGCTTCATCATCATCGGCGTCTTGGCGGAATCCTCGCTTGCGTCTGGAATCATGATCATCGTCGTCGTCCCCGAGACGGTGTAGTTTGACACCAGACTTCTGGGGGTATTCACGTTCGGCGATGGCTAGTGCATCAAGGCCTCTTCCGAGTTTGCGTTTTCCACCGCCGGATTTGGATTTCGGGGCATCGTTCTTGAGGTTATTCAGGACGTTCGACCGTCTTCCTGGCATGGTTTAAATATGTCCTCTCATGCGGCTCTTTAAAAAAAAAAAAAAAAAGAAAGAAAGCACGGAGAGATCGCACGAATTCCGAGTCGTGCAGCAACAACCTCGATATTTTTTATTTTTGACGGTCTTGCGCTTGTGGAGCTTAAAACTGATCCCTGCAGCTCGGAGGTTCCCGCGTGCTGATTGGCCGAAGGTTTGTCCGCAAAAAGTTCCCAAACTGATCGCTGGAAATCCTCGTTCGGTTCATCTCGCCTTATCAGACCCGCCACTCGCCGCCGTCATCCTTTCATAACGGTCCGGTTTTTCGACTGTCCATTGCGAATGATCAGAATCCTTTCTTACGATCATGTTTAAACCCACTCAATGCCTCCAGGCGCGCCTGCGTCTGACTACCAAACAAGTCGGCCCCGGCTATTACAAGGGTAACCGCACGGGGTCCATGGGTTTTTTCGGTCGGAAGAAGGGCAGATACGTGATCGATTGGACGAAAGTGCGAACATACGTTGTCCCCGAAGGCCTCACCGAATTCAAGGTTGGTGCATTGCCCATGGTAGTTGAAGTTACTGCATTGAACTCGGGCTAATGCCTTTTTTTTTTAACCACAGCTTACACCTTTCGTGACCCGACGCATGGAGCCGACACGGAGTATCTACACAAAGAGGTTGCAATTGCCCAGTGGCAAAGAAGTAAATGCCCAAAGAGCATACGACGGGAAGGACTTTTTGCAAGAGTGGGTGGAAGAGAATGACGAGGAGGTGGCAGAACTCAAGCGGCGAGAGGAAGAATTCAACGAACAGTCGAATGCCGAGAAGGAGAAGTGAGCGGGTGATAATCCGTCTATACCGAGTCAACATTCATTTCCACGTCGCGAGAGAAAATGCCCGACTCTTCCCGGCTCAATGAAGCGTCCTCGACGGTCATTTCCGAAGTCGACGACACTTCTCTTAACCTCACTTTGTACAGTAAAAACGGTCATTGAGTGCATATGGCGAAAATTAGCGTTTGCGGATATATTATCATGGGTCTTGGTTATGGCGCCTTGTGATGGGTAGTTTTTTAGTCAAATGAAGACATGTTCCTAACCATACTGCATACAAAAGCATACTACGGAAACCACGCTTTACATTCTATGTAATTGGAATCATATTTTTGACACGTATCCGAGCCTTTCATGTATTCTATTTACGAGTGAATCCAGTCATCGGTGGTGGGCTCCGTTTTGCCAGTTCAGCAGGGCTTGGTGAAGTTGTGGCGAGCTCAGCTAACTGCCTCACGGTGGGCATCGAAGGGGCACGCCCCATCGTCGTCATAAATCGGATGCAATCCCACTGTAAGCTCGTCCAGCTTCAAAACTCCAGCACCTTTTCCAGATGTACAAAGAGTGTGCTCTAATATTTAATAAATCGGTACGCTAATCTGAATAATAGATAGAAATGACATAAAGAAACTGAACCGGATCTTGTTGCCTCCAATTCAAACTCGCCCCTTACGCTCACAGCCCCGAGTCCGACATGTTCCAATCATTCACTGGCAACTCTCGCCGGCCGCGACAAGTAAATCTCTCGAGCCGCTCCTCGGTAAATCCGTTCGCAGCCCATTCTCCTTCAAAGCGCCATCCTCCTTCCGCTCATGGATCCCAAGCCACCCTTGCGATCGCGCAACAGGAACGCCTTCGAAGGCAGCTGGATAGGGAGCGGCTGAACTCTAGTCGAACTATCCAGCGCACATGGAGGGGATATATAGCCCGAAAAACCACGCGTGCTTCTTGGAGAATTGAGTGGGACAAATATGAACAGGAGAGAAACCCGGGCTACCGGCTGCCTGATTGTGCTGCGGGGAGATTGACGAGCGGGCCTCCAACACAATACCCGACAGCTTCCGACTGTGTCAGGCAGCTTAAGATTCTCCTGGCCTTTATTGATGCTAGTGATCAGGATGATGCTGTACGGCTGGATTATTTTTCTCGGGCTTTCCAGAGAACTGTGGAGGAGATGCCCTCACTTCTTGTCGAAGGAGAATGGGCGGTTCTACTCTCCCGGCTTGCAACGACCACACTTCGTGTCATATCCACATCACGACTTGGTTCTCCTGCGTTTATCATAGATGATATGCTCCGTCTGCTCATGTTCCTTACGAAGCTCGTACCCAGGCCCATGGCGAACAAGGCTCGGGAGTACTATCAGGTTATGGCAACTTTAACTACAAGTCCTTGGGCAAGGTCCGGAGATACCAATATGACACGGGGACTGATCACTCAAGCTGTTCTCGCGATTTTACAGCCTATAACTTCAGACACACTTGAGGCGTACGAATGGTTTGCCCGGACTTATCTAACAATCCCTTCCCTGGAGGATCACCTAGGTTCCTTAAACGAGCTTGCCGTCGGGGTAAATTACAAGCTCCTGGCGTCCGTTTTGGACTCTCATATACTCCAATCTCAACAATTTCTCAGCTCAAACGACACGGTTGGTCGAATCTGGCTCCTTGCATACTTTATCTTCTTCCACAGGCACGCGTTAGGATCCACATTTTCCGAGCAAGCCCCGGAGAGTTTATTTGTGAAGGCCATGTCGTCCCTATTAAGTTCTGTTGCCACAGACATTTCGCAGAGAATAGATGTTGAAGAGGAAGATGTATCCAAAGGATACAACCCACTTCCACCTTTTGTTCGGTATGAGCTCCTCAGTCTAGTCAATCAGAACAGTATCACCCAACTACTGTCCCGTGCTGGTGTTGATGGGTTGCCCGGAATGGATGATCAAGCCGAAGACGAAGCAAAGAGTCTTGCCACATATGCGTTGACCCTTCTCAGGATTTTCCCTCGCAGAGGTGATGAGATTCGGATGTGGTTATACCTAGGTTCCGCGTCCACCACCGAACGGGGAGGTTTGATATCTTCTCGAATGCCTGCTATCAAGTATTTCTGGAATGCAACGAAATCAACAAAGGTTTATCGCACCGTGGTTGAGAGACCTGGCGAAATTCTCGAGATGTTGAAGACGCCCTCCACGAACGGGCGAGGTGTAGCTGACCAACCCAGTACAAGTTGGCCGGGACGTGAACAGGAATGGACTATTATTCTTCTCTTCCTCGAACTCTATACGTTTCTCCTAAAGGTCCTAGATGATGAAGAATTCTTCTCCGGCGGATCACTCGATGGCTTTGTCTCCAACGGAAATACATCATGGACGAAGGAGAGCACTCTACCGCTTGCAGAAGTGAAATATTTAACGATCTTCTTGAAAAATCTAGCCTTTACTTTATACTGGAGTGCCGCGGATCTAGCATCTGACGAAGTTGAAACGGAGCGCGTTGGGATACGCGATTATTTCAATGCCTCTGCGGTCATGTTAACACAAAAGAGTTCAAACGTGAAGCCGAAGAGCAAGGAGCTTGGGGGTGTAACTGGAATACCCCTTGAGTACTTTAAAGGACTAGTGACTGGGCTTTTAAGGATGGTCCATGAGAGAGAGTAAGTTGCTCTTTGTTTCCTAGAAGCAAAATGCACCTACTAACTTTTGACTTAGTTCTCGTCGAAAGTTTTTGCCGGATGGCCATTGGCTGATGACCGATCGATTTGATATGGAAGGGTTTATTCCCACTGTTGTGGCCGAAGAGGAGAATAGACATCAACTGCAAGACGACGAAGAATCCGACCTAGAAAATGAAGCTCTAGAAGACGATGATCTCGGACATTCCCTTGGACTGGTAGGTACCGGTCGAGCACAGCAGGTTCGTCGAACCGAGCTCCTCAGGAAAAGACAGCAGCAAGCTGCGCGTAAAAAGGAACTGGAAGCAGTCGCTCCGCGATTGGAGATTTTACGCAATATGCCATTTTTCATTCCATTCACTACTCGAGTACAGATTTTTAGGGAGTTCATTTACAGAGATCAAATACGGAGACGGAAGGGGTACGTTGATCCTGACGCATGGCGCTTGTCTGTGGCTCAGAACTCGATGTCTCTTAACTTAGATGGGCGCCTGATGGCACAGGACATCCTTGCCAAACATCATGCAAATATACGGCGAGAGAACCTTTTTGAAGATGCCTTTGAACAGTTTTATCCTCTGGGAGAGGGCCTAAAGGAACCTATCCAAATTACGTTCATTGATAAGTTTGATACGGTCGAGGCAGGCATTGACGGTGGAGGAGTGACAAAAGAATTTTTAACGAGCATCATTAACGACGCGTTTGACCCTTCCGGGGTGTTGAGCCTCTTCTCAGAGAATGACCAGCATTTGCTATATCCTAATCCGACGGCGGTGGAACAGCGCAAGGCCCTCCTTCGACAAGCTGGAGTCCCCGAGAGGAGCGCAGAATGGAACCAGCAGATCAGAGAATTGTTAAAACGTTACGAGTTTCTCGGTCGGGTTATTGGAAAATGCCTTTATGAAGGCATTTTGGTTGATGTTAATTTTGCAGGATTCTTTCTCTTAAAATGGGCCCTGACTGGTGGTTCGAGTTTGGCTTCAAAGGAGTCAGCTTACCGTGCCAATCTTAATGATATTCGGGACTTGGATGAGAGCCTATATCAGGGTTTGGTACGTTTTCAACCAGGTATTCGATTATAGATTGATATGTTACTAATTTTCCATGTGTAGTTACAACTCAAGAACTATCCTGGCAACGTGGAAGATTTTTCTCTCAACTTTACCGTGACAGATACAGTTACGGTTCCTGGCACAGGGCCCGACGATCCAGAGAAGGCGCAAACTATCACGAGGGAACTCAAGCCAAATGGGTCCAACATCGCCGTGACAAACCAGAATCGACTGGTGTACATCTCGTATATTGCACGCCACAGACTTCAAGCTCAGCCTTACCTGCAAACAAATGCGTTCCTGCAAGGTGTTGGACAGATAATTCAGCCCTCTTGGCTCTCCATGTTCAACCAAGGGGAACTTCAGAGACTCGTCGGCGGCGATTCGGGAGAGATCGACGTTGCAGACCTACGGCGCAATACAGTGTACAGCGGCGTGTACACGCTTGGTGATGACATGGA